CCGGCGGGGAAGACGAAGCGTCGTTTGGATCTCGGGTTTTCTTGTTAAGGGTATCGGAGGTGCGAATGGGCCTAGGCCTGAACAGTACCTCAGCCCAATACTTTTAACAGCGTGGCCCATTGTGTTCCTTAGGGACTTAGGCATTCTTTGCTTCGGCAATTTATGTACACAATAGTGTTGCCCAATGCTGATAAAATCCTTTTTACGCGGTCATATAATTCTTTGGAATTATTGCGATGCAAATTAAAAGGTGCCTGACAGAAAGGCGTTATGCTGTTTTTGTACGCTTTTTTAGGCTACAAAAGCTGTCTGGGTTAACTTGGAATGACTTGTTTTTATCATAGTCATTTCCTTGGTATGATATATACCTATTTCCATTGTGGTAAATAGTCATAGCCTAGGCTATTAGACTTATTTGTTACCATAATTTTTATAATATTTGGTGGGTAATCTTTAGAGTTTTTATTCGGATGCCTGTCAAGTGTGTTCATTCGTGAACCTTTTTAGAGTGTAAACCACTCGGGTTCTTTTTATTATGACTAAAAAGCAGTCGGCTAGAATGCCTCTTTAGGCGTCGCGTATGCTTTTGTCATGTGATGCGCGATTGTGCTATTATTTTGTTCTCAACTATATGTTTAGTTTGTTAACTAATCACATAGTTGGGGGCTACACCTAATTAGGTGCATCTATTCGATGCACCATATTCTTTATCTTTTCGCCCTTTACAGTCTTCGTCTTCGCTACTCGGCAGGCTTTGGCATGACAAGTCTGAAGCACTCGGATTATTATCTTTGAGAAGGCTATGATGGTTGACTGCAAAGGTCTCGGGGGCTACTGTGGAGATTATGGATATCCCATATCTACACGGCGATGATATTTGGGCTGAATATAGGATACCGAATATGTATAGAATATCTTATTTGTATCTCGGGTTTGTTTCTTAACTTGTACAACAAGGAAACACCTTGAGACTTAGTCGGTTACGACTGTATTTTGTCTGTGTTTGCATATTCCGTTAGGGATATGTATTATCTTTTGTAATACGGACTCCTTCCCATATATAAGGGGGGTCCGAGTGCCTCTAGGGGCAGATGTTGATTTTCTCTAAATCATACAATCAATAATACACTCGGCGGATTCATCCCCGGACAGGAGTAGGGTATTACTTCTTTTATAAGAAGGCCTGAACCTGTATAAATCCTTTGTCTCCAAACCCATACACTTTTCTAGCTTGATAGCCACCCCCTTTTATTATTGCCGAAATCTAGTTTCGACAATGCGAGTGGTTGCTTCCTGTGTTTCATCGATGACCTTGGTGCATGGTCTTGGTGCATGGTCTTAGTGCCACTGCTATGTGGGCCATTCACTTTTTCTTTGTTAGAACCAACCATAGAACTTGTTTATGCGAGAGGCTTGTCCTTTGTGTCAGCGCTCTTATACTGTTTACATGCACCGTTGGAACTGATCTACGGTCTTCTATGTATGTTTTGTGGCCCCTGTTTTGCTTTTAGTCTCTTCTATGCCGTGCATTGTGTTCACGGTGTATGCGATCTGATCGCTACCTGCAGCTCCACTAACTGGAAGCATCCTTACACTATTGGTTCGTTTTTGTCTAGGCCACATCACAATAGCTTGCACATGGTCTATGCACCTTGGGTCTCTGCATTGTGGGGTACCAGTTTTTGTGTGTGCTGGTTGGACCACCAGCATTTGTCCATGTCTTAATCCATTGTACTCAATCATATACTGTTGCATTTCACTTAGTTGAGTGATAGTTCTACTAGAGGCAAAACAATTGTTTCACTGCTACTGGGACCGCCTGTCATGGTGTTGACAGTTGTCTATTTGTTATTGGTGGGTACCTTTCTTTCACGGTGGATATGAGATTGCTTTTATTTTTTAAGCTAAAATAGCATATTGGTTTCATCCTTATATGTATCGCCTCCAATATTGCTTGCTTCCTTCCTCTTGCTTCTCGCCTTATCTCACTGCATTCAGTTGTGTGTTGTTCACCGATTTCACACCACTGATCGACCTATTATCATTGTGCTAAATCATCCATTACTAATGGCAGGGTAATAATTGGATTTAAATGGATTTCTTCTTTTTTATATGTGTGGATTCAATTAGATTCAGATTGTCTCCTTTTTGGGTGTGCCTGATCTGTGCCTCTTCATTATTGATCGTTTAATACTAGTTTTTCACAGGGGAGAAGATTTGCATGGGTTAGATCGCAGTTTCAAAGGTTCTTGATTGTTTTTCGTAATAAGTGCAAGAGCTGCTGATGTGATTTGGCAGGTATTCTTTTTTTTCTCTTTTCTTCTCGACATTTTGTGACATAAATCGTATTCTTTTGGCTGCATTCGGCTCAAGATTATTCTGTACTAATCTTTTTGCGTTTGTCATGCAGCTCTGATCGGTTCTGTGGGTAGTTGTTCGTTGTTATTATTGCTGCTTTAGGAGATTTCGGATTTCAGTTAGTGTTCTTGGTGGTAGCCAGTGTGATCTCTCTTATTGCTGATCGTCTGTCGTTCCAGTCCCCGTCGTTCTTTCGTCGAAGACTCGAAGGTAATTTATTACTTCATACTGTTTATTTTTGCGTGGTTTTTACAAGCAAATTACCTATCAGTTTTGTGATGTATGCTGCATCTCTGTATGCATGGATTGGTTTCTCCGTATCAACATTCTTTTTGTCATTGTGGAGTGTTCTTTTGTTCCTTGTGTAAAAATTACTAGCTTTGTTTGAATCATTGCTTTGTGTGTTGTGGTTGTACGAGAGAGAACGTACATGCACTGTTATAACGGTTGAGTGTATACTTTCTACTAGCTGTTACATAGATGGTCATGCATATGTTTCTTTTTTTTTTATGTCTCATCTCTCTTTTTAGCTATGGTCATCTTTCCTCCCCTTACCTATTTTTTCCTTTCTCCATATATGACTTCCTAGCTCCTCTTTCCTTTACATTCTCATGTTATGCTGTTTGTAGACATGTCAGATCAGGGTTTAAATAGAGTGCGCAGAGTTCGTGCTAGCCGGGAAAGGCGAGCTGCAAATATTCTATCTCGACAGCTTCCCATGCACATAGAACATACCATAGTAGAACCAGTTCAGTCTACATGTGGAAATGAGCGGAAAAGAGCACGTTCGATTATGAATTTCACACCTGAGTTATCTAAGTTAAATAGACAACGACGTTCTTTGCTAAGCTCAAAGATGCCTCCTCTTGCTCTTACGTGCACTAACAATGGTATGTAGGTTATTTTTCATGATATATTCATAATATATCAAATCACATATAGGTTTGTAAAAATATTCTTGGAATATTTGTTTGCTGCAGTTCTCAATGCACACAATAGTGGTAGCTCATCACGGACAGATAAGGAGTACGTGCAGTCACTAAAGGGTCTGCACCCCTACTACACATACAATAGTCTTTTTTTTATTTCCAAACATAAATTCTTACTTTGTTCACTGCGTATATTACAGCGTGTTACCCGGGCAGATCATACTACGGTCCTCCAACATATGAGTGCCCATATTGTGGTGCCATGTTTTGGTATCAGGAAAGAGTGAAAAGCACTTCAGCTATTTCCAAGCGAAAAATAATCTATAACTTGTTGCAAAGGTGGTAAAATACAATTGCCCAAATTGCGCCCTCCCCCTGAACCACTTGCGACATTAATAAATTTTAATGGCGATGCACGATCAAAGAGATTTTTGAGGCAGATACGATCATATAACTCGATGTTTGCTTTCACTTCAATGGGTGCAAGTATCGACAAATCAATTAATACTGGAAATGCGCCTTATGTTTTCAAGATTAATGGTGTTGTCCATCATTGGATTGGTTGTCTTTTGCCATCTCATGGTTCACCTCCAAAATTTGCACAGTTATATATTTATTATCCTGAAAATGAAACACAAAACAGACTAAATATTTTTGAAAATGATGGAGATAATGCAGATAGAGCTGATCCTGAAATAATTGCTGCCCTTTCATTGATGCTTGATAGTGAAAATAGCCTTGTGCAGAACTTTAGGTATGCTAGAGAACGACTTTCTGAACATGGCAACCAACAGCTAACTCTTCGTCTCTTAGGCTGCAATGCGAAAGATGATGTGCAATACAATTTACCAACAAGTGGTGAAATATCTGGCATAATAGTTGGTGATTTCTTAGCAAAAGAGTACAAATTTGATGTGCTTGTCTATGATAAAGACCATGGATTACACCAGGTTTCGCCACTGCATCCATCATATATGGCCCTGCAATATCCTTTATTATTTCCATACGGTGAACGAGGATTCCATTTAGGCATTAAGTACAATAATTATGATGGAATTGGAAGAAAATATGTGACAATGCAGGAATTTTTTAGATACAGAATGCACTATAGACTAAATGAACCAAATCCTTTCACATGCTATGGACGACTAAGCGATCAAATCGATGTTGATGTGTTTTCTACTATTGAGGCTAATAGGTTACAATTTTTCATTGACCACCAACCTGAGTTACGAGCTGAGTCTGTAGATGGAATTGTAGATGCAATCGATGGAATTGTAGATGCAATCGATAGAGGTGTCACCGATGGAGATTCAGTTGGCAAGCGCATGATACTTCCTGCCAGCTTCATTGGAGGAAGGAGATATATGGTAATGAATTATCAAGATGCAACCATCTGATAGAGCTGATATCATTGTGCGTGTATTTAATATGAAAGTTAATGAATTCATAACTGACATTAGAGAAGGCAGAACTTTTGGTAAAGTTCTTGTAGGTATTTTTGCTCCTTCCTATTTCATATAGTATTCCTTAAACATACAAGTATGTGATTACTTATTATTTAAAATTATTCCAGTACTCTACACCGTTGAGTTCCAAAAGCGTGGACTCCCACACATACATTGCTTGGTATGGCTTGCAGCACCCACCGCTGAGATATCAGCATCGGTAATAGATGGTTTTATTTGTGCTGAAATACCAGACTATGACACTGATCGACTAGGATATGAATTGGTTAGTGAATTCATGATGCATGGTCCGTGTGGAGATGCGAACAAAAGTTGTGCTTGCATGAAAAATAATAAATGCTCAAAAAATTATCCAAAAGATTTTCAGGATGAAACCATTATTGATGAGGCTGGCTTTACAATTTATAGACGACGAAATGATGGACGACATATTATAAAAAATGGAATTCCATTGGACAACAGATCGGTTGTTCCTTACAACATGAAGCTGCTTAAAACATATCAAGCACACATAAATGTTGAGTGGTGTAATAAATCAAATTTGATAAAATATTTATTTAAATATATCACAAAGGGTCAAGATCGTGCTAGAATCTATTTTGAGACAACCGGTAAAACAACAAATGCATCACCAAATCATGACCTTGCACCACAAGATGAGATATTAGAATATATGGATGGTAGGTTCCTTTCTACATGTGAGTCTCTTCATCGACTATTTGAGTTTGATATACATTATAGAATGCCATCTGTTGAGCGATTAGTTGTACATTTGCCTGGCAAAAATTATGTTAGATATGAGAAAGGGTCTAATTTACGAGCAGTCCTAAAGAGCCCTGCTGCAAAAAGTTCGATGCTAACTGAATGGTTTGAAGCGAATAAAAAATATCCTAAGGCTCATTCATTGACATACTGCGAATTTCCAAAAGAACAGACATGGGAGCCATCATCTAGAGTGTGGCGCCCACGAACTCCTGCTCCAAAAATTGGTAGAATTTACTATGTGCATCCAACTGCTGGTGAGCTTTACTACTTGCGAATGATACTGATGATTGTTAGAGGTGCCCAAAGTTATGCTGATGTGCGAACATACAATGGCATTGTTTATTCCACATATAGAGAGGCCTGTGAGGCACAAGGGCTCCTCGAAGGAGACAATGAATGGTACCTGCTTTTTGATGAGGCAATACTAACTGCATCATCGCAACAGCTTAGACAACTTTTTGTAACCATCCTTCTTTATTGCTCAGTTATAGATGTGCGCTCATTATTTGACAAGTACTGGATACACATGACAGATGATATTCATAATAGACTAAAAAAAGCGCTAGATAATCCTCACTGCATAATTCCACAGGATCACTTGCTTAACCTTCTATTACATGAGCTTGCTACTGTATTTGCAAAAAGTGGTGGTGACATAAAGGATTTTAACTTGCCACACCCAACCTCCATTGCACATATCGCTGGTGGTAACAGATTGATTGATGAGGAACTTACAATTGATCCACTTATGCTAAGCATGCATGCAGATTCTTTGATAACACAATTGAATACTGAGCAAAAACATATTTTTGATGTTATATCTTCTCGTGTTGCTCATAATCAGCCTGGTTTCTTCTTTGTGTGTGGCCATGGGGGAACCGGCAAAACATTTCTATGGAATGCTATCATTGCAAAACTTAGATCACAAAATAAAATTGTGCTTGCTGTAGCGTCATCAAGGGTGGCATCTTTACTGCTACCTAGAGGTAGGACAGCTCACTCACGATTTAAAATACCCATTGATATTGATGAGACAAGCATTTGTAACATTAAACGAGGAAGCATGCTTGCTGAACTTTTAATTGAAGCTTCGCTTATTATATGGGATGAGGCTCCGATGACACATAGGCGATGTTTTGAAGCGTTGGATCGGACTTTACGTGATATCCTTTCTCAAACGTGTGCTACAAATTCTATTATACCTTTTGGAGGAAAACCCGTCGTTCTAGGTGGTGATTTCAGACAGATATTGCCAGTTGTTCCTAAAGGTTCCCGCCATGCTATAGTCAATGCATCAATCACAAATTCAGATCTATGGAAACATGTAACAGTCTTAACGATGAATATAAATATGAGACTACTTAACACAAACCTAGAGCAAAAGCAAAAAGATGAGCTGCATGATTTTAGTAAGTGGGTTTTAGCTATTGGTAATGGCACAATACCTATGACCACGAAGGAAGGTGAAAGCTATCCATCATGGATCGAAATTCCTCATGACTTACTTATTATAACTGATGGTGATAAAATATCTGCTATTGTGAATGAAGTGTATTGTGATTTTTTTGCATCATACATGAATCCTGAATACTTAGCTTCTCGTGCAATTGTTTGTCCTAACAATGCTACAATAGATGAAATAAATGACTATGTTATTGGTTTAGTACCAAGAGAAGCAAGGATATACCTAAGCTGCGATACAATATCAAAGTGCGCTGAACAAATTCCAGATTTTGACTTGCTATATCCACCTGAGTTTCTTAATTCAATAAATGCTGCAAACTTCCCTACACATAGACTTATCCTCAAAGAAGGTGTTGTTGTCATGTTGCTCAGAAATCTAAACCAATCAATTGGTCTCTGCAATGGAACAAGACTATTAATTGTTGCTTTAGGTGATAGAATTCTTCAATGCATTATACTCATTGGCTCAAACATTGGTGATACTGTTTACATACCTCGAATAACACTGAGTACTACTAAAATGAAATGGCCTTTTACATTGCAAAGGAGACAATTCCCTATTCGAGTTTGCTATGCAATGACCATCAATAAAAGTCAAGGACAAACACTACAACGAGTTGGTGTGTACCTTAGAAAACCTATTTTTACACATGGCCAGTTGTATGTTACAATTTCAAGAGCTACAAGTCGATCAGGTCTAAAAATATTAATTGAGAACGACGATGGTTCATGCGGAAACCATACAAGGAATATTGTTTACAGTGAAATACTCACTGCTACATTTCCAGCGGTGCTTTTCTTAACACTGCCCTATACATTGTATTCATCTTTTTCTTAGCATCATTTAGTAATGCAAATCCATTCCAATTGCAGGCTCCGCCGTTGCATACTTAGCTATTTTGGCCTAAACAGGGACAAATTTTGTACAAACATTTTGGAATAAATATATGTCTTCAGCAGCTATCATGTGCTATATACCCGCTGCAATATTCCCCTCTTAATATTATATGTACTGTCTTTGTCATCACTGTTTTCTTTCATTAGCAGTAACTATATAGATTAATATGTATTAAAATTGTTTACTACCTATTGCAGATTCCAAATGGCGCACATACTCATCTCACAGCTGTCATGTGGTGATTCAAACATACGAATTAAGGCAAGAGTTTCTAGGCTATGGGACTTTCATGATCTCAATGATGATAGAAAAATTGTGCACACTGATCTTGTCTTACTGGATGAAACGGTAACAATTTACCTACTGCAATTTTACACTAGAATTTTCTTTATTGTATTAATCATTCTATTGACAATATTCTCTATATTTAAAAAATATAGGGGAACAGCATACATGCTCAAATGTATCAGCATGTAATAGTGAACTTGAAACCTCTTCTTCAAGAAGGAAAAGTTTACTACATTGATTCATTCACTGTCAGATATGCAAATAGGACATATAGGCCAGTTGCACATAGCCTAATGATCCTATTCACTAAATGGACAACTTTAGAAGAATGTGTCGATGTGCCTGCTGATTTCCCTGCTATAACATTTTCATTGACACCTTTTGGAGATGTTCCCTCTCTTGTGGACAAAAACATCTTTTATGTTGGTAATAACCTATCCATACCATCTTACTACATATACACATCTTTTGCTTCTTTACAACATTTATTAAATTTATACCACATACAAACAGATATTATGGGTGTTATCGCTGAAATTGGCACAACGTCTACTGTACGTCCTCAGTCAAGGAACACTGACAGTTTAAAAAGAACACTATAAATATGTGATGCAAGGTTAGTTCCATGAAACTCAGTCCTTACCATTCTACTTTCCAAATATTTGTTTTAACGAACATTCATACTCACTTTTACACATGCTTTGAATATCTAATAATTTGTTCCAATTATAATTACACCAATTTTTCTATTAATCCACAACACTAGCAATTCCACACTACCTCTCACACTTTGTGGAGAGCGAGCAACTGCTTTCGATGCTGAGAATATCTACAATGCTGGCCAAAGACAACCTCAGGTGGTTGTGTTTGTTGGCACGCTTGTCAAGAACTACAAAGGCTTAGGTACATTTGTACCTACAATTTCGCTTACTATGTTGTGTATAATACAAAATTAACAATATTTCAAAATTCCTCTATTCTTCTACAGGGCTTACACTGACTGGAAGCTCCCCATGCAAATGGTACATTAACTTTGAAATACCTGAAGTAGTGGAACTGAAAGAAAGGTGATCTTGTTATCTTCCAAGTATTCCTGCAATCTATTTACATTGCACAATTTGCAACTATTAGGATGACATCCATTAATTCTAGACACAATATGTTTGCATAGCTTTAGCACCAACTTTCAGCCAATCAGGTGGAACGACGCTCCTCCTGCAGGATTCAACCAAAGCAACCCACAAGAAAAGACACTTAAAGACATTCTTGACCTTAATCCTCATAAACATAAGGTTTGTCTTACCTCTTAATTAACTATCAACAACATTTTCCTGGATTTTACAGTCGTATTATCAACAGAATTTTTTCACTCTTATCCTTTGCAGGAAGCACGCTTCATAGTAAATGTGGTTGTTAAAAGAATATGCAACGAAAACTCCTAGTGGTACAATTCATGTCACCTATGCTACAAAACCTCAAAACCATATGGCTCAGCCTACAAGTGCACCAGTTGTTCCTATATAGGAATACCAGATCAAAGGTCAATAGCGCAGTTTAATTAATTCTACATGTCTAACTATTTATCACTCACAAATTTCTATATTCATTTAAATTTACATGCAAGTACAAATTAGTGCTAATTGCTGGAGATACTACTGCAGATGCAACATTTATTCTTTTTGGAAAAACTGCGCAACGCATCATACGAAGGCCAGTGGAATCTCTGATCGAAGAAAATCCACCGGACAGTGAATTCATTCCAAGGGAAATCTTAGCACTTGTTGACAATGGTTTTCTATGGAATGTCAGCTTCACAAAGGATATTAACAGAAGCGAAGAAACTCTCCAGGTTAATAGTGTTATATCCTCTGGTCCAGCAAATCAACCACCGCTGCTTATGTCGCCAAGTACTTCACAGCCAGCATCAGCAATTGTATCGGCAAGCTCAAGCAGTTCTCTCCAGACAGCACCAACACCAAGTGAAACAAGCACCGAATCGCAATTAGCCATCATACCAGCACAGGGCACTTCAACACCAACAAAATACACTCCTGCTGCTGCAACAGATGAGACACCAACTAGCAAATCAAGCTCCTTAGTATTTACCAAAAAAAGCATTATTGTCTCAGGCTACTCTATGCCATCTCACACTGCAAAGACCTCTACTGATACTAAGGTATCCTTCTTAATACCTACTCTTGCACTTCCTCTGCTATAAACAAATTTTCCTAAATAATTGGAGATACACTCTGACCTATTGACCAACTATGCAAGGCAAAAATTGGCACTCATCATGAAGAGAAGATCTCACAAAGTGCATCTTTAACTACAATTGTTCCCCGTGATACTTCGGATAAGGTATTCATGCTCTTTCTTTTCATAACCTAATCCATCAATTTCTGAAAAAAAAGTGCTTCTTCTACAAGGCAAAGGTCACCGCTGAATCTCCAGATGAGTCTCCACAGGCAGATCCTTCACTGGCGCCAAAGAGCACACCCAAAAAAAGGTCTGTAAAGCTTTCAGTTCAAAGTTACAGTAATAGACATTTCTCGCACACATTGTATTTGACATGTCCTTATAATGAACAGAGGTAGACCTACAGAAACCACCACAATTGCCAAAAAATTGTTCAAGGATAGTACCCAGAAGAAACCCACTGACAGGTTAATTCTGAATAACTCAGCTCACCTCTCCACACATACGCATTAATTCTTTAGTAAACTTCACTAAATTTCTAAACTCATCATTCATTCCTACAGTGAATGAGACGGATATATGTAGTCCATCAGCAAGTCTTTTGTGTATATGTACAGAACGAACCACCCAAGCTAGAAGTGTAGAAGCAACAAGTTAGCTGCAAGCCTAGAGGAGGCTAAGAAGCAAGCCCTTTTGTTCATGACCCCTAGGTCATGATTATCATTGTAAATAAGTAATGTTATGTTTACCTTCCTTGCCACCTTCTGTGCTATGAAATGTTGTTCGAACAACTACTACTTATATGGAACCAATATAGTTATGGCTGCGTACTACCTAAACATTTCTCCTTCATGTCAAAGACACCATTATACGCAAACCTTTTATTTTCTACTATAGCTATATCGAACCATACAATACACTACATGATAAATAGCACAAATTATTCTGACAAGCAAACTCCATTGTCTCAATCCTACGGCATGGAAAGATTTTTAAAATAGAGTAAATTCCCTGTGTATCCCTGAAAACTCACTAAATCCCTTTCATACCCCTAAAATTTACCCGACCCCTTCTATACCCCTGAAATTTCAATTTGATCCCTTCCATGCCCCTACCGTTACATTTTCCATCATTTTACTGTTACGTTTGGTTGCAAATGTCTTTTTTGCCCTTGATGCTTTAGGTTTAAATATAAGCTTCAAAAATAATTGAAAATTTTGTTTGAGTGCACATCGTGTGCATTTTATAAAACTAATGAGACTAAATAATTAGTGCAGAAAATTTTGACATAAATTTTGAAAATAAAATAAATGTAAAAAATTAAAATTTTTATTTGAAATTTTAATAGGACAATGGATTTTTTTATCAGGAGCATTCATAAAAAAAATGTTGTGAACATTGGTATACCTATCTTTATATGAATGCTCCTCATTTTTATGATCTTTTTTTAAAAAAATAAATACGTATTTTTTTTATTTCATTATCTAAAAATATTTTTTTGGGATAAATAATGCATCGCACAACAAACTCATAACTATAATAGTCTCATGCGAGAAGCTTTTATATTTTTAATAATGTAATTTATGAATTTCTTTGTTCATCCAAGGGTAAAATGGTCATTTTTATAGAAAATACACGGTCAACTAACGGGAGGGGTATGCAAGGGATCAAAATCAAATTTTGGGGGTATATAAGGAAGTAAGCAAAATTCAGGGGTATAGAAGGGATTAGGAAAAATTTCAGGGGTATATAAGGGATTTTCTCTTTAAAATACACTACACTATCTATATTCCTATACATTTAAATGATGAAAAAAACTTCCAGCTCCACAAGAGCAGCGCGCGAAGCGCGCTCTCGCCCCTAGTCTAAAGTATTAAAAGTGACCCCCGGCTGCTCGCTCCTCAGCGTTTTGCGCTGGCGTGGACGCGGCCGGGGCGCGACACGTCAGCGCGCGCTGGAAGGAGTAGGGATTTCGCGAGAGCTCCTGCCTCCGCGTCATCGCTGGCCATTTTGCAAAAAAGCCCTTCATTTACTTGATAATTTGTTACAGGTCCCTATCCCTTAGTTTTAACGTTATGCGTTCTTACTTACAGGACCTCTGTAAACAAAAATATTCTATACGAAGAAGAGAAAAATCGGAAAATCGTACCGCGCTCTGAAAAGTATAAGATGAGGGGCGTTTTCGTAAAATAGAAAAAACCCTAACCCCCTTCCCCAAACCCTAGCCGCCACCATTCGTCTTCCTCCTCTCCTCCTCTCGCTCCGCTCTCTCTCCTGCCCAAGCAATGGCCGCCCCCCTCATTCTCTTCTTCCTGCAGGTGACGACCTCCTCCTCGCACTCTCTGCTGCCGTGCTAGCCGCCGCCCGGCACGCGGGCCACTGCCGTCGCCATACTCTCGCTCCCTCCGCCGCATACGCCAACGAGGAGGCCGGGACCGCCGGATCCGGTGACTCCGGCCTCCTCGCCGGCAGATCCGGCCCCTCTGAGGCGAGGGGGAGCCGGCAGCCGCCCCTCTCTCCCTCTCCCTCTCCCTCTCCCTCTCCATCCTCTTCATTTCCGGATCGGTGGACGCCGGCGATTAGGCGGCTTAGGGCTCATGGTAACAAAAAGGGAATACATGTAATGCACTTGGTAACAGTCGCCGCCGCCGCCATCGAAGAGGGCCAAGACGGCGGCCGGTATCGCCACCCCACAGAAGATGGGGAAGGCGGCGGCTGCGTTGGCCGACCAGTTCTTGACGCCGGAGAAGCCGACGCGGAAGGTTGCAGCGGCGGCAGGGCACATCTGGACGCCGGATAGGCCGGAGCAGCCGTCGGCGGCGGTGCGGAAGGCGCATGGCAGCAGCGGCGGCGTGGTGTTCTCTGTCAAGGGGGGTCCGGCGGGCGGCGCTCGAGCTGCGGCAGTGGTCGGAGAGGGGGGCGGCGTCGCTGGCGCCAGATGAGGACGAGCTCGAGGCCGTGGAACGGCAGCTCGATGTTGGTCCCACATCCGTCCGGAGCCCCGTCAAGCGCAAGGCCAAGCTGCCGGAGAGGTAAAGGTCCAGGCTCCACCATTTGGATCTGGTTCAATTGAATTCTGCAATTTTTCTTAGTTTCAGACAATTATTCTGATACCTAATTGCAGATCTCGCTCCTTTAGTGAATATAGTCTCCATACCCACCATTAAATTTGATCTATTGAGATGCTAATTTTTACTGCTGCTAACTTTCAGTTGGTGTTTGTGGGTGGTTTACTTGGTCAGCTACGAGATGCTCTGCGAGTTCTTCAATTGCTTCGAGAGTTCCACCCAGTTGCTTCGTATGAAGGGATCCAAGGCATCCTTCCCCAACATTTGTGCTACCACCCAGCATTTGTCTGAACGGTATGACCTATACTCAGACAATGGTTGGTTGTGTTGAATTGTTGTAATTCAGACAAATGTTGTATTGTGGCTTATGACTTGATGTGTATATAAATATCCTAGATGGTGTAGAAAGCTTGACTGGAGTATTTGTATTTGCTGCAACAAGGTTAGCTCTCAAAGCATAAGAAGATGTAGTTGGTGCAGCATGCCAAACAATTTTAAATGGACTGCAATGACCAGTCGCAAATCGTCAAGAAATAGTTAGCATGGAATGAAATGCTATGAAGACTGAATTTTTACTGGTGAGAATAAGATTGGAACTAAAATAGCTTGTTTGTTTTCCTTTATTTTTTAATGGTTTCTTCTTCCTTATGTGCAGTAAGCCACAATCAATTGATGTTGCACTCTTGTGGCCTGGAAGATTTGTCTTATGTGATTTTCCTGGATGGCATGAGTGTTTGGAAATTCTGGAGGTTCACTCTAGAGAGGTGAGCTCTCATTTGCCATTTTGTCTTCTGTTGATATTTTTAATCACGGGTTTTGCCAGCTGTGAACTCCTTAGATTATTGGTGTCTTAACAACCTCATTGTTGGTGATGTATTTTCATTTTTAATATCTTCTGTTGGTCTCAGGTTTCATTGGCAAGTGATGCCAGTCTGGAAGACGTTGCTTCTTTGACTGAAAGATTTACAGGTGCGGATCCATCACTTGCCAGTCTTGTCCATATGCCAGTAGTTTTCTCTAAAAACCAGTTACTACAGTATGTTTACTCATGTATAGCATTATAGGATACCTATTGGTTCTGTTAAGCTTACGTTCAGAAATGACTATGCTACATGCAACTTCCATTTAAAAAACAATACATGCTCAGTTATTACCAACTGACAAAAATCTGAGATGATAAAAAAAACTGAGATGCATGGTCAGTTATTCACGGTGTTACATATGAATGAGGATAGCTAGATGCTATTGTTTCTCTTTGCTATCAGACCCACTGACCTATTCAACTGCTTGATATATATCTACTTTGATTCAAACATATCAGTTTCAAAGTTCACTTTTTTATCTAACACTTGATCTGGCTGTTTATGGGCAGAAATATATTTGGCAATATGCTGTAATTTATATTTTGCCAATATGAATTATTGTCAGACATTTTGTTGGATTGTACATGTCATGGTTGCTGATACAAAATGATAATCATGTCTTGGCATTCTTCAACAATTCCTAGATTGCCTTGCCTTTTCTTCCTGTCCACTGTCTCACCTTACACTCAAGATTTATTTATTTTTAGATTGTTAAAAGTCAAGGAGCTTTACCATTCACTTACTTACTATGATTGATTTGTTTCCTTGCTTATTTTCAGTTTTACCTGGTTGGTTTACAATTCATCAGTACGCACTGTGAGACAACCTCTGAAGAATTTGAAGGACAGGTAAAACTAGAAACATTTTTTAGTTGTTTTTTCTTTAAATATTTGTCGATATATGCACTAATTGGATGTTTCCTCAGTGGGCCACTCACTACGTACAATGGTGATGCTTTGCCTCATTTATGCTTAGTGGTACATTATGTCAATCTGTTTTGTGCATAGCGAGGGAGTGGAAGTAAGCTTACCAACCAACATTTCCCTCCTCCTAGGCTTAACCTACCTCAAAGACTAGGTTTGCCCATTGGTGCAAGCTGACCACCACTGCTAGGACATAATACGGTTTGCTTAGTTACTCTATCTCTTACCTTCCCTGTTTTTGCACATATGGTAAAATTTCTTGCAGTTCCTATACAATCCGCATGTTTATCCCTGCTCACGTATACCAATGATGCATGTTTATTCATGTATACATGGAAGTTATAGATTGGTGCAAGTGATTCAATTAAGTTGCTTTTCTGTTTGTTGATTTATGAGATAGAACTCCAGCATTGTTCATCAATTGATATGTTTATCAGGCATCAATTAATATGTTTCAATTGGTAGCTTAAACCGGAGAAGACTCCAGCTAGATCATAGGCTTATGATTCCTCAGACTAACCATTGTTCAATTTCATATTTCTACTACTGTAAAAGCAAACGCTAAATTTAATCATGTTTATTAGATTAGATAAAACATGTTAATGTATGCGCAAGAGGTTCAGAACAGCACTAGCACATTCCCTTCTATCCAACGTTCACCCCTAGTCATATAAAATCCTATAAACCTCACGTCGGTACTGTTCACTATTCATTCGCCCACGCGGCCACGTCGCCCCAACAATCAGCACCGTCCGATCTCCTGCCCAGCCACGCGCTTGCATCGTATCGGGCCAGGCCGATTGAGCCCACCACCCAGTCACTCACGACAGGAAGAGGAGGACCAGCCACGAACCTGCCGATTCCCCATTCTCTCGAGTCTTGACCGCGTCGTCACCTACGACGCCGCCGCCGTTCCCCTTTTGTCTCGAGCTCGGCCACGCAGCTCCCGTTGCTCGCCGTCGTCGCTTCCCGGCGAGGCCATCCACGGCCGCCGTCGCTTCTCCCCGGAGACCACCACCGTCTTTCCACCCCCGCGCGGCACCCCGTCTCACCCTCTCCCTCTAGGGTTTTCTCGGCCTCGAATCGCTCTGTAAGCCCCTCGGCGACTTCTCTGGTTGTTTTGCTTGGATCTCCAGCTCACGGGAGCGCTGCTTTGATTGAATCGCCCCCAGTGCGTCCCTCCTCACACCACGGCACCTTCGCCTGCAGTGCACAAGGCCGACCTGCTCAGGCGCGCTACCCAGGCGACCATGCCTATGCCCCTGTGCTTGTATTATCTCCACCAAGGAGGCCGTTGCATCCCAGATCTCCCTATCGGCCAGGCTCGGGAGGATGCTACATCGAGCCATGACGGCTGCAATACTTCTAGGCCTTGAAAAGAGGATTTGGACCACCGGTGGTTCTGACCAAGATTTAGCGGTATGTGTTTTTCTATATGTTTTCTTCCGTGTAGTGTCTATTCCCTTTCCCCTGTTCTGATGATTACTTGCTCAAGCTGTTTGATTATTGTCAGTGGCGAAGCCACCGTAGGGGCCAGGGAGGGCCAACACCCCCCTAACCTCTATGTGACCTCCCCTCCCCTCTCTTCTCCCAAGGATGATTAGCACTTATAATCTAGCTATTAATTATATCATTAGTTGCAGATGAGACTAACTATATAGGACAGGACAACTGCCTAGCTATATATATATAGGACTTATGAAATGACTTAGCTAAATGATTTATCATTTTAGAAGTGATTGCAAGACTCCAATTAATGAAACAAACTGTTCAATCATCCATATATTAAAAATATTACTGAATTTTAAATTGGCAAATCATGATATATGGGTTCTTGTTCTCTCTTGTAGCTAATCGCTATAATATGTATGATATCGAGTTACCGATCATACATCAACGCTACAAAATCACTGTTCACTAAACCTTAAGTGAGTTGCCATGTCTCGTAGATGGCACCCTCCATCTCTAAATCTTGGCTTCGCCACTGATTATTGTTGCAGCAGTTACACCTATTAGACATGCATTCAGTTGATGAGCATTGACCACCCAACCAAGGTACCAATCAGTTTTCGTCCAAAACATATGTTTATTCTCATTCATCGATCTGCGATGCCAAATCTATGCTTCGATCTTTTAATTTGCTACAGCTTTCCCTGCTTCTCTAATCAGTAGCATTACAGATTTGTCTCTGTGAGACTGTGACTGCTTATTGTACTTTCAGATTGCTTTACAGTGCATGCACAAGTTGTTGCCTATTTTAATACCAACCAACCAATATATAGCTGTTCCCAACAAACATGGTAAAAATATTATCTCTGAAATTCTTTGCTTCTATACATTCTCATGCATACGATATCTGATCGATGTCCATCCTTCTTTTGCATGGTTTTCATTTTCAGAACATTTCAGCTTTCAGTATATGATCTTCAGGAATGAATTGACCGTTATCTGGCTTGCAACCGTTCCATGGTGCAAATCAATCAGTTTGGATATGGAACACGCATTGTACGGGTTGCTGCTTATAGGTTGTTTGGATATCCCTTAATGGATCAAACTAGATTGTCATATTTGTTTATATACAGGTGCTATTTGGAATTAAGTGCAGTGGTTGTACGGGTTAATTCAAAGTTGATCCCTGCTTATATCGGGCAATTATATTGATAATATGTTATTACAAATTTTATTGATTTTCAGTTTAAGTTAATATTGTTTACGACTGTATGTATTGTTTTTTCCTTAGCAAGAAATTAATTCTTCCCCTGGCCTGTTGGCTTCTGATACATGTGATTTACCATTCTTATTTGCAAGTGATTTTTGTCTCTCTTTACAGATAAAAATGTCACACATCATTATGTGAAACTGGACCATCTCCAGATGCATTAGTGATCAACCTACAAGTTGCTTTCATCTTTTAGGGACGGAGGTAGCAAGTGAGAAGTGTGACATAACATATAAAATAGAGTTGTTTTTTTCCTAGCAGTTCATTACCACCATTTTCTGAGTTATATCTATGCAATACGTAACACAAAAAAGTCTCGCGCTGTTTTGGCATGTACTGAACATTCACTTCTAAATGATTTTTGTTTTTTCTTTTGTTTTCTACAGGTTCAACGAAGGTACCTGCATTGCTCTAACTTCTTAGGTGGCAAAGAAAGAGGTTGGTTTACGTTAATATGATATGTTTTCATCTTGCGTCACCACAGATATGCCCATGGTCTTACTCCCTTGGATTACAAACTTACAGTTTTAGCAAATCAGTCTATTGGTAACATTAGAATACATTTGGTTTTGTTTTGTATCTTATTAGGGGTTGTCTGTGATTCTGCCCAGCCACTTTGGTTTGGAAGAAAGAAATTGGTGACTGAATCAATGAAGCTGCTAGTGGCAACGTTGCCTGTATAGAAGGTTTGGTCTATCTTACTTTTGGCTATCAAATTGTACCATGTGCTCATATACCTATGATTGATTTAAGCTGACATCAATAAAAGTTACACCAATAAATATCTTCATATACCAATATTTTCCATAGTATCTATTCATACACCATGTAATCAATTCAATATTCCATCACCTGAAATTGAGATTAATGTGATAGATTTCTTTTAATGTTTGAGTAATTGTTGTGATAGATATTTTTATTGATGTTTGCTTTTTGGCGTCCGCGGCAACGCCGCGGGATCCCTGCTAGTTCTAGATAAATCCATAGGACGCACCGCTTGAAAGAAAAGGTAAAGGTCGAAGTGCTATCGGTGCACGCACGGGCTGGCATCTAGCTAGGCACTCACGCATGCTCAGGCCTTGCCAGCGGCTAATCACAGTATCACACGTGCAGGAGCAGGCATACGAAGAAGAAAAGAGTTAAAAAAGAAAGAAACACAAATAGTTTTGTGAAATTATTAGGAGTATGATATCACGTACATTGAATGGAAGCAAGTATATCTTACTACATCGATATCACGTATGTCTATAAAATACTCCTAAAAAATAGAAAAATTAATTGATAGAAATAATATAAACGATTCGATCAAACATTATAAGCCTCATATTTTTTCTTAAAATCATTTTCCACTAATACTATAAATTTTGTGGATTTATTTGCAAAACTTTCAGGTTTTATAAATTCGCTGCAATTTTAAGAATAAAACTATTAGATTGTTTTTTCTCCCTAATCCTCATGTATTAGAATATAAGCATTTTTAGAGTTCGACACAGTTATTAAGGCCGTGTTTAGTTCCACCCACATTCCCAACTTTTCATCACATCACATCGAAAACTTTTCTACACACATAAACTACCAATTTTTTCTCCAAACTACCAAATTTCTTTCAACTTCCCAACTTCTCCACCACCTAAACACACCCTAAGAAAGTTGGTATGATTAAATGGGGGAGTATTGTGATTGGAGAAGAAGTGAAGGTAGGTAGAAAAATTAAATAGTGAAGGGTTATGATTGGTTGAGAAGAGAATGTTGGTGGAGAAGTTGTTATATTTTGGGACAAATTATAAATGCTATAAGTTGTTATATTTTTGGGACGGAGGAAGTAGCATATATAAAATCATTTGTCAGAGTGAAACAACACATCCAAATTAATGACAAATATAAATTACTAATCTACTTTGATCCATCTCATCATTTTTAAAGAAAATACTAAAATCCATTAAAAGATCATTTTGGAAAATTAAACTTTTATTGAAAATAAACTAACTCATGTAAAATTATACCGTTTTCCTGTTACATGTACAGGATATAAATTAACAGCGCGCCTTTTGGCGCGCTGATTTTCTAGTCGAAAAGTTAAACCGGGGTATAAGTGTAGCACCTTCGCTCCACTCAAAGAAAATGTAAGCCGAAGACTTGAGAAGCTTCCAGAATCCAGAGATCGCAGCAGAAAAGGAGCGAACAAGGCAAACCTCTCAAAGGAAAAAAGAAAAATAATAAAGGAGGAAACCTGTCAAACACCACCCTATGACAAGTGGGTCCCACTCGAACCAACCGTACGGCCCCCCCACCCAAACCCGCTCCCCCCTCGCTCCGAAAATATCCACCTCTCTAGATCTTTCTCGTCGCAAACGCCCTTCCGCCCCCGCCTCGCCGCGCCCATTCCACCACCTTTCCGAACCTTCCACTCCCTTCCAGACTCCACCCCCACGTCACCCCTATTTAAACCCCTCCTCCCACCGAGCAATCAAGCGACAAGATCGAGAAGCCACAAACCCCAGCGCGATCCGAGGTAGAAGAAGAAGAAGAAGAAGAAGAAGAAGAGGCGATCGAGAGATGGAGAGCGCCATGTTCGGGCTGGAGACGCCGCTGATGACGGCGCTGCAGCACCTGCTCGACATCCCCGACGGCGAGGGCGGCGCCGCCGGGAAGCAGGGCGCGACCGGTGGCCCGACGCGTGCGTACGTGCGCGACGCCCGCGCCATGGCGGCGACCCCCGCCGACGTGAAGGATCTGCCCGGGGCGTACGCGTTCGTGGTGGACATGCCTGGGCTCAAGTCCTCCGACATCAAGGTGCAGGTGGAGGAGGAGAGGCTGCTGGTGATCAGCGGGGAGCGGCGGCGCGGCGGCGGGGAGGAGGAGAAGGAGGAGTCGTGCAAGTACCTGCGGATGGAGCGGCGGATGGGCAAGTTCATGCGCAAGTTCGTGCTCCCCGACAACGCCGACGTCGACAAGATCTCCGCCGTGTGCCAGGACGGCGTGCTCACCGTCACCGTCGAGAAGCTCCCGCCGCCGGAGCCCAAGAAGCCCAAGACCATCGAGGTCAAGGTCGCGTGATGAGATTCCGCATCTCTCTGCATCTGCGTCGCTGCGTGGATCAAAGAATCGAAGCTTGAGTTGAGTGAGTTGTGACTAGTAGTATGAGTAGAGTGTTCATCTTTATCGTTTGCTACGTGAGAATGTGAGGACATGGTGGTCTGTATGCCGTATGCGATGTGATGATGATGGATGGTTTGATGTTTGGTAATGGAAATGGGGATGTTCTGCTGCTTATCTGAATAAATATACTCTGCATCTTTTGAAATCTCTTGTCTCGCCTGCAAATTATGCGTTGTTCGTTTAATCCCTTCAAATTTCCCTTAAATCCTCGTTCTAAGCCGAGTTCCGAGTTTTTGGGCCGAGAGATTAAACGAACAGGCAAGTTATTCTGTATTTTTGGATCTGCGTTTGTGGATATGCAAATGTTCTTGAGTGAGCTGGGGTGGAGCGGGCAGTAGACTAGTAGTACGTGTGAGATCGTTTTGCCATGGTCTGTATGCATAAGCAGTGTGATTGTTCCTTTGATGTTTGGTACCGAAGATGCAGATGTCCTGTTGGTCTAAATACCTTTTGGCACTATCAAATTTTGATAATTTTGTTAAGGCAACCGAACCAAATACTACCTCCGTTCCAAAATAAGTGCAGCCGTGGATATCCGTGCCCAACGTTTAACAGTCCGTCTTATTTGAAAAAATTGTGAAAAATTTGAAAATATTTAGTCACACATAAAGTACTATTCATGTTTTATCATCTAATAGCAATAAAAATACTAATCATAAAAAAATTTTAAAAAATTTTCAAATAAGACGAACGGTCAAACGTTGAACATGAATAGTACAAAACTACACTTATTTTGGGACGGAGGGAGTAAGAACTATGGGCTGGTTTGGTTTGAGGTCTAAATACGGCTTACCAATATTTGTCAATTTCAATAGTATTTATTGTCTATTTAGTTTGAAGCCAAATCTTAACATGCCTAAGAAAATAGGCCTTTTCTTAGGCCATTTCAATAGTTAACTTATTTTAACTTCAATCCAAACACAACATTGCCTTCCCAAAATTAGTCATGCCACAACTTGCTAAATTTTGGCATTGCCAAAAATTGAAAAGGTCAATTTAGATCTCAAACCAACCCAACCCTATGTGAACATTTGATAAGGCTACACCTACACATTCCAACACTACGAAATTTTGGTAATCTAACATGCGCCAATATTTGACATTACTAAATTTTGACGGTCAATTTTTGCAGAGGACAAGAAAAGGTCAAAATTTTGATTTTCCGATGTCTCCAACGAATTGCAGATAATGATATATCATCGTTTCCACCAGCAAGGGCTACAAACAAGCATGGCAGTACTGCACAGGTTACAAGTCTCCATCTGTGGGTCAGAACTGCTCTGCTCTGTTCTGAACAGGTTCAGGATCATCTCCCCGAACGGTGGTGGCAAAGGAGAAGGGCGTTCGACGTCAACTCAGGTGTTTATGTCCCTCTCCGAAATCCTGTGCAGCACATTCGTTGGCATGTATGGTGAGACGCATCCTCGGACCTGCGCAGGCAAATTAATTAGTAATGGGGAAGCAAATTTGCTTCTCTCTCGTTACAAACATGAGGCGTTTCAGATGCAGCAGAACAAAGTTAGGGCCAAGGAGAAAATTGAGTATCAAGCAACATTTCCAAATGCGACTACACATGTACTCCATTCCAAAATGTAAGCATTTCTGGCTATGCATCTGGACAAGCTTATATATTGGAACCAAGGGTTGTCCTACTGAATCTCTGTGCATGGATACTACGGATGGATTCTACACTCGTTAAACCAAGCAGGGGACATGGAAGAAAACGGAAATGTCACCTGCAGAAGAGACTTTGGGATCTCAATGAGTCCCTGAAGCAAGAGATCAACTCTTTGAAGATGCTCTAGAGGAACAGGAGTTATTACATATAAAATGCCTCTTTGCACATCGATGCCTCTGATAATACCTGGATAAGAAAGTTCAGACAAGTGACCAAGTTCAATATAAGGGCTGGATGCCATTGTCGTAATAATTTGCAATATCTACACTAATTGATCATGGGTGTAATGAAACATGACTAGGTTGCTGAAAAATCATAGAATATGCATAGTAATGAGAATATGCATGTGAGAAGAGCGAGGAAGTACCAAGACCAGCACACCAAGGGATTGAACGGCCTGCCTCGATCGTGCCACAGCTAATGGCCAAACCAACTATGGTAGCATTTAGACTATGCCATACCTCACTAGGAGGTACCTGAACAGGGACAAAATAATAAGCGTGAGTGGATTCTTGTTACCATTCAGGGCATACAAAGACCTAGATTTGAGATCTCACATACATAATTCCAACCTCAGCTTATAATTCGAAAGAAAAAAAAAAGAATTGTGGAGCCAAAAGACCTGGCAATGAAGATGTATAACCATAACATCTGAAATTGATACTTCATAGGGTGGAAGTGAAGTTAGGCCATAGGCAAGCTCCTTATTTGTTGTCAGTGATATGTCACTTGGAAAACATTGCTTGAAGTACTCTATAAGCCGGCGCTCACGCATTCCATAAGAATCTTTCTGGATTAACAACCTAGTAAATACATAAACAACATTAGTACTTGCCAATTGCCATGCATTAAAGCAGTTGCTGCTACTATGTGTAGAATACATGACTGCAAGTATTAATTCGACAATTGCAGCAGGTGTGGTACTTGAAACGGGTACATCAGAGTAGTGTGAAATTAGAGCACTGCAGGAAAAGAACGTTCATTGCTATTTTTGCACCAAGCAAATAGCATATAATTTAGTTAATAGCTTCAGATGATTTGAAATGCACTATCATAATTACCAACGTATGCACATTTTAACAAAAAGAACTTGAAGCATTCTTTCATTATCAATTCAGGTAGATGGATCCCTAATCTCTTATTGCATGGAGAAGAGATTAATAGGCAGAAAAGAGGCGCTAATTGTGGTACTATTTTTCCCCATTCCACACAGAAGAGAACTCGTAGATTCCTGAATGCTTTGGATGATAATTTCATTACTGTTTGCAAATTCAAGTTTCAGTAGCAATCAAGTCATACAAGACACACAGTTTATGCTCTAACCTACAAGCATACAATGGATAAAAATATTCATCAAAGTATTAAGGAGGCTATTTCACTGTGCTTCAACTAATCGATTGGAAATATCTTTTGACATCAACTTGAACTTCAAACTGAGACAAATGAAATGTTACTCACGATCTATTCAAAGCATCATGAAATGGAGCATCAATATTGATCATGTTTGGTCCTGTTTGCCCACAATCTAACCAAAACATTCCATCAGGGAGATTCTTGCTCTGCGCAGAGATGCGTATCTGAACAACAATTGTGGGGCAGATATACCTTAGCATCTCTACCAGCATATCAAAACCAGCACCTATGTAAAACAAATAAAGGAGGGCCTAGTGAACAAACTAAAAAAAAACGTGTGGCATCCTGTCATAAAAGACCAATTCATAATATATACCTTTCACCCATCCAGGAGTGTTGACAATTAAAGGTAGAGGTTCACTGGCACCAGATCGATATTTTTCAACAAAATAGTCATACAAATGAAATAGACAATTCAGATATGTTTCTGGATCTCGCTTTGAAGAAATATCACCGAAGAAGCAACACCTGGTGGATTTTTTTTAAAGAAAAGAAACACTGGCGTTAGGTAAAAAGTTGTCTGAACATAATAGTTTCGAAATACCCAAGGAAGAACTTTACATCCACAGTCTAAAAAACTGCCTAGCAAGGAAAATAGCAAATGGTTTCACTAAGTAACTTCTTGAACTTATTGCAGCATTGAATAGGAATAATAATGTTGTTCGGCTCAAAACAAGAACACAATAAGGGAAGATTACTAAACCGAAGCAATCAAGCGGTATGACCACTCCGCAAGGAACAGCAAACTTCGCAATTCATACAGTCACAAAAGGGGGAAAATCACGCACCTTTCACACTCACGCAGAGTTGGGTTGAGCAAATCTGCACAAAAGCCAACAACACGTCTGTGAGAAACTCAAACCACCCAATTAACCAATCACTCAAGAGAAACATCTCCAGTTTAACACTCAAATCCCCGCACACAGATGCCATCTCATCTCGTCACCTGTGAGAGCTTCGTCGACGACGTGGAACGAGAGGCATCCCGGCGGCGAGAACTCCGGCTGCCCGACATCCGTGTCCAGATACCCCACCCTCCCATACCTACAAACACTCACCGGAGCGGAGCACCACTCCAAGTCAGCGAACAAAGCTCCTCGCCGACGAAGCAGAGCTAGGGCTTTGGGGGGTAGAGTGGGGTTTTTACCTGGGGAGCAGCGAGTTGAGGAGGAGGCGGGAGAAGGTGGACTTGCCGGCGTTCTTGGGCCCGCAGACGACGACGACCGGTGGCGCGGGCTCGGAGGAGGCGGCGGCGGCGGTGGCGGTAGCCGCCGCCCATTCCGGCGGGACGACCACCTCGGCGCGCGCCGACGGCGAGGCTCCAGCCATGGCTCCTCTCTCGCGAGCGAAGCAGGCGACGGTGGCGGCGAGAGAGACGGCGAGCTCGCCCGTGCAAACCCGCGTGTCTCTCTTCCTGGACTCAATCTGATCCGTTGGATTCGATCCGACGGCTCTCAATCCAGCTATCATCCAATGGGCCTCGTGGACAACCTATGGGGCTATGACTGGGCTGTGAGCCCACATGTAGTCACAAGAGAATGTCCTTTGGGAGAAATTCCACCAATAGAATAGAAATAATTGAAAGAATAAGAATGCTTACACACTTCAATCCATAGGAATTTTCAAGAGACTTGGATGGATGGAAAATTTCCTATGTTTTCTCTTCTCTCTGCAACTTTTAGGAAAGAAAATGTTCCTTTGGTTTTTCCGTACCTACATTCCTATGAACCGAATGATACTTATACTTATAGGAGTTAATCCTTAGGAAATCCAGATCATTTGATTTTTCTTCCAAAAAAATAGGCCCTAAGAATGTGTTTGGAAGGACGGGAAAATAGAGGATTGAGAGGATATGTAAAACAAGTTGAGTTACATGCATATGATTAATACGGTTTTATTTTAAAACAACTTTCTTATAGTTTACTTCTTTTTTTGGCAAAACGATGTACCTTTTAACAGTTCAGGAATGCGTGCACGAAAAATTACCGATTTTCTTCCAATCGGCTACTCCAAACACAGCCGCTTCTAAACACTGTTCCCTCCATCCCGATAATGTATCTATTTCTAGAGTTTAATTTATCTTAAAATGTAGTAATTATTTTTTTATCTATCCTCTTATCACAATTAATTATAATTAACTTCTTTTAGTCCCTACACCTACTTTCTCTTTTCAACCAACCACAATCTCACATCACTCAATTCCATATACTTCCTTACCACGAAAACGAATAGAAATGCTCATATTTTTGGATGGAGGGAGCAATATTTTTTCTAAATAAAGTTTTTACTCCTCCGATTAAAATATTTGACGTGGTTGACATTTGATCCTAAAAGTATTGTTTACTTTGTTGTGACTTATTTTATTATTAAAAATATTTTAGGTATGACATATACTTTTTCATATTTATACTAAATTTTTAATAAGATGGATATTGAATAGTCAAACTACTGAAGGTGGTAGTTTTCTAGTATTGAATTGAAGCGTTTGTACTCTAAATAGTTGCCATAAACTAAGTTTTCAGTCACCGACTCATCATTCATCATCTATCGCACTTTAGAACATGCCCTCAGTTAGGCAGATATAGAATATGATTAAAGGGGACTCATCTCCTTCAACCCCCTACTCTTCCTTCTCTCCTTATTCTTCCGTCCCTCTCATTTTATCAATGGTGATCCAAAGGGATAGAGGAGACTCGAGTCCTCCTAGCACTTACGTTGGATCTCTGTTTATATAGCTGATGCCTGACGGAAAAGAGAAAAAGGGAGAACTTATTAGATCAACTAAAAGCCGTTTGGTTGGAACCTGAAAGCTATGGGTATGGGAAATGCATAGGCAAAGACATGACCCGAGTCATAAATCCTGATCCGACCAAGTCTAGTGTCCCAACAAAGTGAAGTAAACGAAAGATGGTCTTGACTCTTGAAGACTTGTAGTATTTTACAAGGCTGCATTTTAGCAATCTGCGTGCCTTCTCTGTGGGAGCATAAGCATGTGACATGTGCATTGTGCAATTCGTCTGCTTATTCAGTTCAACAAACGGGTTGACAAAGTCACAGCGCCGATCTGTTACGACATCAGCAAGCTTGCGCCATCCATCTCTCATCGTGACATGCACGGCCTGTTCCTTTCGCTCGGACATGATACGTCTTCAAGAAAACGTATTCTCTCCGTCTTCAAATAAACAATTTTCTATACATGAATTTAAACCTTGGTTCTTTCACTCAGACATGATATTTCTTCATGAAAACATACTACTTTCATTTTAAAATAAATTAACTTTTATATACGAAACTCAACCTAGGACGAAGGGAGTATTATTCTGAACATGACTCAAGTCGAAATCTAAAAAATAATAAAACATTGATACATCTTTTTAGTACTTAGAACAAATGTGTGAATACCTTATGAAATGTATTAGTCCTTCCATTTCTGAAGTGTAGATATTTCTAGAGTTTAAAATTTGTATCATGATATAAACATTTCTAGTTCTGATTCTTTTTTTTTTTGAGAAACACAGTACAAACGCAGGCGCTCATAACGTGCACACACTCACCCCTACGAACGTACACACGCACACCCTATCCCTATGAGCACCTCCGGAAGACTGGACCGGCATATTTTGAGATTGACGAAGTCACCACAGGCGCCTCGCTGTCGGCGGGTACGTCGCCTACCACTGAAAGAATAATTAGCCGTAAATGCAAACACCCGTGTCAAATCTAGGACGAAAATCCATTTGTTGAAATTAGTGCCACAAAAATGCTACTCCTATGTTGTATTACTCCCCTTCAATCGAACAACAAACCTTCTCGCTAGGCGAACAGCAAACCTTCAGTTCAGCAAACAGGTTGACAACGTCACAACACCGATTTGGTATGACGTCAGCAAGCTTGTGTCGTCCATCTCTCCGTGTCATGTTTCCTTCACTCGGACATGATAGGTCCTCACGAAAACGTATTGTTCTGACATGTTTCAAGTGGAATTATATAATAAAAAGCATCGATATATATTTTTAATGTTTAGATCAAATGTATGAAACCTTCTTAAAATGTATCAAATGTATTACTCCATCTGTTTCAAATTTATACTATGATCTAAAATTTATACCACAATATAAATTTGTATGATTTGAAAGTATGGATTTCCGTGTATCAGGGTGACTGACCCAAAATGTTTATGTTGTATAATTTTGAATTCTAGAAATGCTTATAGAGAACAGAGGGGGTATAACTATTTCAGGCTTGTCTAGCAAATATTAAAGTTACGAGGGAAATATGTACCTTTTATATAGTTACTTTGTTGATCAAATTTTGAATTACTTAGATTCTATGATGTTGTGATAGGCGGGAGACAATTTTCTAGATAATCGGAATCTAGGCGTGCAAGTCTTTGCTTAAAGAGGAGAAGGGAAATATGTAAAACTAAAAGTTACTCCTAAGATTCACAGCGGCACGATGAAGTGGTCTACCATAAAATTTCGTTTGATTTCAGAGGGGGAAAACAGCCTTTATACATATGTAAATAACTTTCTACCGCAGTAACCAAAGTGCTTGCACGCCTAAACTAGAAAAAAATTTACACATAGAAACTACTAGCAAACAGCTACTGCAACGCGAACTTAATTAGTTGTTCAGATTCTTATACACACACGGTTGTCAAACGTTGATATTGATTATTCGATCGTTTCTTCCTGTAATTACAAAGGACAGTTCGAAAATGTGGTTGAATCAGACTTCCTCATCCTGATCAGAAGCTGCCTCGTCCTCGTCGTCGTCGTCTTCCCCTGCATTGCCGAGGAACAGCAAGCAGAAGCCACCGACGGTGACGACCACCGACATGGCCACGACGAGCGCGTTCAGCGGCGGCGGCATCATCGGCGCGACGCGCGACGAGAAGAGGACGGTCAGCGCCGTCGAGAGCGCCCAGACGGGCAGCCTCAGCCGCTCCCTCGCCACGGCGGCGGCCGGAGAGGAGCCGTCGGCGGCGAGCGCCTCGAACCTGCCGACGCAGTAGAGGAGCAGCGCGAGCATGGTGTACGCGGCGGCGACGAAGGCGAGGTCACGCGGTTCCGCCGCCGCGCGGTAGGTGCACGCGGCGACGTGGCCGGCGACGAGGAAGCCCGCGATGACGCACGGGAGCAGCGCGTTGTCGCCGTCCTGCTCCCGCTGAGGTTTCTTCGACAGGTCATCGTCCATTGGACACGTCACACTCGGATAATATGTATTACGACTTTGTACGACGATAGGCTTTTGTTCAGGTTCAGGGGCGGGCTTAGTTCCGCCCGATCGTTATTGATCCACAATGAACAAGGTGTGTTATATATACTACCCTCTTGCTTGACGTCTTCTCTGCAAAAAAATTTGCGAGGAAATTGTCGTGCAAAGATCGAGAATATGTTTCACTGGGGAAAAAAAATTGAAAATGTAAAGGATCGATAAATATGATTGACCAGCAGGTCAAGTCATGTAGTAGGAATTAGATGAGAATCAGCGTACTAATCCGGAAAAGATTTATGGCACCCAATTACCTCTTTATTAACTTTCACCAAATTTTATCCCTACCACTTTTAAAGAGGCATCATAGTTTTTTCTCTCTTTTTTCTTAATCTTCTGTATTAAAAATAGCGTAGTGGGGATAGGTCGAATAAAACGTTTAGCATCAATACCTTATAAATTTAAATTATATGTCATAAAAAGCAAAAATGTAAATTAAATTATAAAATTACTTTCATAATACCATCAGGGTTTTGAAATGTAAATCACTTTTAAAAATTTTTCTTTGAAGACTTTTTGTCATTTCTCCTTTTTTTTAAACCGATAGGAGAATTATAGTCTGTTTTGCGAGTTTAAGATTCTGAGAAATTAGTTGGTAGCTAACTTCTAAGAATACGTAAAAACTGATTTTCTAAACTTTTAGCTTCTAGTTCGCTCTTTGAATTTTACAACTACAGCTTGAATCTAAAGTACAATATGAACTGTTCGTGGAGCGTTTGATTCTAGAGGAAAACAAACACATTCCTTGTAGTATACAATTATAGCTTTTGTGATTAATGAGTCTCTGTGGGCATGACTTAACCTGTGGGTAAAAAAAAAGTACCGGCATGATTAAGTCGTCTTATTCACACAAGCGGGAACTCAAGAGTAATTCCGGGTGATCTGCTTGGCGTACACGTAGAGACAGTACCACGCGTGATGGTCACGAAAAATCTATGGTATACTGATCTGCTACTCGCCTACTCATGGTTTTTTTTTCAGGATAGTCTGCATGTGGTTTCAACTAATAATCCAACAACTAGGATGAGGTTTTGTCAAATTGAAGGCGAAAATGCCAGGAGGAACTTTACTGTTCTTGACATGTACTACTCTAGATGGGACTGACTTTTCTGAATTTCTGAATGTTTTGTCAATGTTTATAGCTACTGCTTTGTGCTCTTCTTAAATTCAAATCTATCAACGAACTTACGCAAATATTACGCGTTGACGCGTTGTTTGTACCTTTTTGGCAGTTTGGCTCGCTCCTCTGAAGCTGGATTGTGGGAAAAGGAATATGATAGTAGAATCAATTCATTTGGTTTCAGTTCCTAAAAAATAGATACTATTCCTTCCGTAAAAAAAAGCCTATCCTAAATACGGATGGGACATTACATAGTACAACGAATGAGCATGCCCAAATTTATTGTACTATGTAATGTTCCATCTTACAATGAATCTGGACATGCTCATTCGTTGTACTATGTAATGTCCCATTTGTGTTTAGGTTAGATTTTTTTTAGACGGAGAAAGTACATGAGAGCGAGACATCGCCATCAGCAGACACCATGTCTCAATTGCTTTTGCAGAGAGACAACGATGGTTATACAGCTTCCGAAAACTGTCAATACATATTTTTTTCCAAATGGATAATCTTACAATTTCTTTCTTCTAGGGAAACATGGCCCCATCTTTTCACTTATGCTTATCAGTCAAAATTTAAATTTTTAATCAAAGTTTATTTTTCAACCATTGATTTTAGATCGCTAAAAACACGTATACAAAAATTTTATTCATAAATTATTTTTCGTTTGCAAATATGCCGTTTTGTTTATTTCACGAATAAGCGAAACTATGGGGACCTACGTTGGGCTTTGACGGCCTAAACATTATAGTATTATTTAGTAGCGTTACAAATTTCAATCAAACAAAACATTTCATTTCAATTTTTAGAAATGTTTAGAAGAATTATTTCATCCTTCACGTTCAATAATTTCTGTAGTACTATATCCTACCAAGTTCAGACCTCCAGTGCAACTCGCGGAAAGCTTTCTCCGGCGGCGGCCGGCTGCCGCCGGCGTCAGCTTGAGGGATGGCCGTGCTCCTCGTCGTGGCACTCGCCGGCTTTGGAACGGAAGACGAAGTAGTAGGCGAAGCCCAGTACCACCAGCGTGACGCCCCACACGCCCAGCTTCAGCGCCAGGAACGGCATCGCGTCGCAGACGCGCCACGCCACCGTGTTGCCCAGCGTCACGGCGACCGCCCACACGCCGAGCCTGACGCGCCGCAGCTCGGTCTCCCTCGCCGGCGGGGACGCGTCGAGCCGCAGGGCCTCGAGCTTCTCGACGAGGCAAAGCAGCAGCGCGACGAGCCAGTAGGTGACGGCCAGGAACGCGATGTCGCGGGGCCGGTGGCGCACGCGGTACGCCACGGCGGCGAAGGCGGCGGTCGCGCCGGCGAAGGCGGCGAGCTGGAGCGCGCACCGTGCGCGCCACCGCCCGTCCCGCTGGCGCGGCTCTTGGCCCAGCCTCTGCCATGGCACCGGCGCCACCGATGTTCCCTGCGCGGTCGAAGGCTCCATGAACGGCGGCGGCGAGAACGCGCCGCTGCTCGCCGGAACGGGAGAGCTCGTGATCGGCTTCGACGGCGGCGGCGGCAGCAGCGTTGGTGTCAGTGAGTGTAGTCAGGTGATTCTTGGTCGCTCTTGAGCTCGACGCGAGCGTTCGAGCCTCATATAGCGAGGCGAGCAAGCGAGACGAGCGCGCCTCTGCAATTGCACGGAAGGCACGGCGAAACAGCGCGGCCGCGTGCTGCAGTGCACGGCCTGACGCTCTCGCCGCGTCCCTCCCTCCCGCAATACATGAACACGGTTACATCTACAATTCTGAATTTCTGACCGGGTGATGATAATTTAAACAATTTGGACAAGGATAACTTATATAATATATATATATATATATATATATATATATATATTACAAAATACACGATAATCACAAACCACGAGTTGTCCAAAGTTCAGACAGTTGATTTATCTACAGAAGTGCTATAGATATGCCCAATACTTTTATGAAATTAGCGACAGTCACATATACTGTAGTAAGTTCAGAGACAACGGGGATGTGTACCGTAGCTTTCATCCTCCATTGGTTTATCTCAGCGAAGGGATTAACCACATGTACCTCTGTCCTTCCGGCCTGCGCCGGACAGCGTGAGGCTCTGGATGACCGTGGGCATGGGCGGGCTCAAGAGCTTCGACGAGCTCCTTCGTCCTGTTCTCCAGGTTGAATGCGCACAGGTTGCTGTAGGAGTCAATGAAGTAGACACAATTCGACTTCAGGTTGAGATGATCCTTCGCCCGGTAACAGACCGAGCTGTAGTAGCTGACAAACAGCGCAAAGTCCCCGATGTTATCAACCTTCTCCCAGGAAAATGTCCCCTTGTCCAGAATCCAGACCACAAACTTATCATTTGATTGCCGCTTCACCCTCATTAGATCACCAGCTGGGGACTCCACCAAACAGTTAAGCTTTCCATGTTGATGCGGATAGTGAATGAGGTTATGATACGGGTCATTCACCTGCGGGGCATCTTCATCTGGCCATGAACGGGGCGGTTCTGCCCACAACTGAACTGTGCCATATATATCAACGGTGTAAAGCTGTCTCCTGTGCTTGAAGATATCCACTAGATCATGCTTTGATTCCACTGATGACCAGCTGTTGCTTCCTTTACGCGTTACCTTATATCCTTTCTGGTCACGTAAGATGACAGCAACAGTGAAGTTTGTGTCATTCATGTCAAGCAACATGGCCTTGGAGAAGGCCCTTCGTCCGATTGGGGGAAGATTGAACTGCATGCCACTAATGGGATTAACCAGCTGCATGGTTCCATGAGATGGGCTGTAAAAGATGAGCCAACCATGGGAAGAACCAACAGGAATCCAGGTGGAGCCAAAGATTGTAACAGTGCTCGGGAGACGAATGGTTTGGTTCTTCCTTTCAGGTACACACAAAAATTTAGAATCATTAAGCGCATTTGTAGGGAGCATCAGCCATGGGTCTATCCTTGGACAGTTGAATACATCCCTACAGAGATGGTTCCAAGATGTGCATACAGCACGGAATCTCAGATAGTCAGGGACGGCAAGCTTCTTTACAATTACACCAAGGATATCAGTCTGAAGACCAGCCCAATCTGCCATCCCAACGGAATTAGCTTCTAGGCGCCTAAAGCAAATCTGTATGTCAGATTATCGGCATGATCACATCATGCATCAAAACAGTAAAAACATAAACTTTCTGCAGCAAGTACTCGAAAATGCTTAAACAGGATTATGAAGTTGCATAACCTGTATTTTGCATAACATGTGTTTCTGATAGGTAAATCTAAAAATAAGTATATGATGCCTAGTGGAAACGTATGAGATGCCATGTTCATTTAATTCTGGGATGTGGTCAAGAGAACAGAAGTAAGAAAGACAACCAATTTCAGTTATGAAAAGCCTAATCCTTATGGTCAAATTTGTGAAGCAAGTTAGATGATGCCCTACAGGCCAGACGTAAAGAAGTATTGTTTGACGAAGGCAACTTTATCAACCCATCACAATGTTATATCACCCAACAATTTTATCTTTCTTACTTCACAAGTAGAGATTAAACAAAAGCAGTGCTAAACCATGAATGAAAACATGAATGCCCTATAACCATGCTGGCTGGCTATAAATTAAAACACAGTTTAAGTATTTCACCAAGTGATTATGCATGCACTGCAGTAACTCTGCTAAGTGATAATAGTACCTTGGAACCTTCGCAGACATGCCACTTATAAGTTATAAGTTATAACCAATTCAGATGCTGTAGATAACCAAATTCGACGACAGAAGCATTCCAATATTTCAAAACGTCAGCAGATTGATGAGGAAAGAGCGTGTCCTGTTGATTTGTAGAGTCAGTAAATGCGCCAAAAGGTCGAAATGATTAAATAGGGGAAAGGGGATAACAAATTTTTTTTGAGCAATCCATTAGTCAAAGGATAGAAAGGAAGAAATATAGGCTGCCCCACTGCACATTTATTTATGCCTCTTTCGGCTTCTCATTTGTGCCATCATTCCGTTAAACCAAATTTCATTCTTGCCATTCTGTCAATTTCCCTATTCATGATGTTTTAAAAGATTGAAATCCTGCTTGTTCTCCACCAACCGACTACTGGTTGTCATGCAACATAGCCATAGCATTGGGATGGTGCAAGCAGGATCCATGCAGTGTTAGCTGTGGGAAGCTGGAAAGAGTGAAGTAAGGAGGAAGCTAGATCATGGACATCCACAGTTAGCGATGCCATCATCTGAGCCACCCCAGCTCTGCTCTTTCTGGCCACTCTGTTTCTGTCACCTGAAGCACAATCTGAAAGTGCTCAAGGATATGACATCTCCAACACACTCCTCTATCCTTCCTACTGTAAAGAGGCTTGGTATTTTGCTGATCTTGTAAGCAGCAGGCATGCATGGGTGACAGCACTGTGGAAGCGCAACTGTGAGTAGCAAGAAGGATATTTGGGGTTTGCTGGAAATTCTTACATATGCTAATGATGGTCGACCTTTGAGCAATTTAAAGTGGCAAATATGAGAAGTGCTATAACGGAATGATGGCATATATGAGAAGTTGAACCGAATTAGTGACAAATGTGAGAAGTGGACATTCCTTAGTGACATAAACAAAAATGAAACAACATATAAATGAAACAGCATGACATGAAACAGTTAATAGAACAGTAACAATCTCAATCGCCAAGCTTACATGTTTGGGTTTACAGGGTAAATGTGAATGCACATGCAGAGCATCAATTTTTTAAAAGGCACCTGAGAAGTATATCAGACTGAACCACATGAAGAATGGACTCGTCGGTAAATATCAAATAGACACCTTCTCCTCTATCTTTCTATCTCCAATTAAGGTGCTTGGATGGGTCCGTAGCAAAAGAAAATCAATTTTCTTACCACCTGTGAGAGAATTGGTACTAATCCTGATGTTCGATGAGCCTTCAATTGTCCGATGATTAATTATTTTAAGCGCCCATGCGTAAACACCTTATATTAGAGATGCCTAACAATATTTTCACATGATTCTTACAGAAAAGAAAAGAGCCAAAATTATGATCCATACACGAATTATGAGCACATGAATCAATCCAACCAATCATTATAAAGGACTACTAATAGGATAACCACCAAACACTACTATAGAACCATTGATGATGATGAGTTGGGGTTGATTCGTGCTCTATACCACCCCTTCAGAAGATCGAAGATTATCTTCTGTAGCTAGATCCACCCAATACATCGAACCTAACAAGCAGAACATATATCATCCTGACCCATCCTGACCCAGTAACTCGGCTTAAACCCTAGAGCACACATCACAACCAGAGAAATTAAACAATCAAAAGAAACCAAGTTACCAACCAAGCGCCGGTCCCCTGAAACCTCCGCGACGGCGAGCCCGTAGGAGGGATCCCCGATCGATGCCAGCGAGCCACGCGGGACGCCCGGCCGCCGGCTGAGCGGGCGCGGCGTTCCAGCAGCAGCACGATTCCTGGAGTCCGGTGCCGAGACGCACCTCGCCGACGGCAGCTACCGCGGCGGTGCGGCGGGGTTCGGCTGGAGCGGATCGCCGGCGGCGGCGACGGGGTCGCGACGCGAGCGCCTCCGCCGCGGAGACTTGGGGATCGACGATGGCTACTAGGCCCTCGTCTTTTTCAATAGACGAAAAAGAAGATAATAATTTTATAATTATAAATCGGCGAAAAAAAAAGTGAGCCCACCTAGGGTTTCATGGCCCAACCTAATTAGGCCCAAGCCCACGGCCCGAATCGAGCGAAATGCTGGCGCCACCGCCGCCGCCGCGAAATCCAAACGAAACGCAAAATTTTCCCGCAGCCCGCACGCCCCAAATTCGAAATTTCAAACAAAAATTACAAACATTTCGCTTCCCACCGAGCCAAAATTTCGTCAGATTCTTCGCTGCGCGGCTGCGCGCGCGCCATCTCGCTGATTCGACCGCGAAATTTTCAGTCATTTAAACCCCCGGTTCGTTTCGATCCCAAATCACCCGCCGCGAACCTCCTCTTCTTCTTCCCCGTGTAGCAAAATCTCCGGTCTCGATTCCGTCCATGGAGTTCGCCGTCGGCAGCGGGAGCGTGCGTGATCTGCCGCCTTCCAAGCGGTTCAAGTACGTCGGCGGCTCCAGTCTCGGGATGGCGCCGTGCCTGCCGGCGAGGAAGCGGTTGTGCCCGCCGATGCTGGAGGCGGCGGCGGCGGCGGCGGCGGCCGTCCCCGTTTGCCTCCCGGCGAAGAAGCGGGCTTATGCGGCGGCGGCGGCGGTGGAGGGGGGCGGTTTCGCTCTGTGCCTCCCGGCTAAGAAGCGCGCCTATGCGCCACCGGTGGATGATGCCGTCGCGCCGGCGTGTCTTCCGGCCAAGAAGCGCATCCACGCGCCGCCGCCGCCGCCGCCGGATAGTGGTGCTTCTCCCTCAGTCCCGACTACGAAGCGCGTCGACACTCTGCCACCGGCGGCGGCGGATAAGGCTGCTATTTCTCCGAGCATCCCGGTCCCGGTCAGGAAGCGTGTTCACGCGCCGCAACCGCCGCCGGCGCCGGCGCCGGAGAAGGCGGCGGTTTCTCCGAGCATCCCGGTCCCTGCTAAGAAGCGCGTCAGCGCGACGGCGGCGGCGGCGGCTACTGACGCTTCTCCCCGCGTCCCGTTCAAGGATCTCGTCAACACCCTGCCGCCGCCGAGAGACGCCGCCGTTTCTCCGAGCATCCCGGCCAAGAAGAGCGCCCGCGCGCCGCCGTCCCCGAAGGACACCGCCGCTCCGGTCTCGGTTTGCCTACCGAGCAATAAGCGCGTGATGCCGCCGTTTCTCCCGCCATCGCCGCCTCCATCCAAGGAGTCGGATGGAGCTCGCGTCGCCGCTGTTAAAGAAGCCAAGCCTCAAGGATCCAATAAACGTGGCGCCACCACCAATTCGAGCGTGGCAAATGGTGTGGAAGATGATTATGCAAGAGCTGAAGCATCCAAGATTCAAGAGAAGCCCAAGATTCCGGAGAAGCCTATCAATCATGAAGAAATCAAGGAGCAAGTGTCGAAGAAACAAAGATCAAACACTTGCAGAGAATCGAAAGATCAGGAATGCAATCAATCCTGCAGTGCTATTAGTGCGAAGCAATCTGAAGTCGAAGCACTCGAGAAAGCTTGCAAAGCGATTGATCTCAACGAAGCAGCACGGGAAGAAGACTCCTGGGATGGAGAGAGAGTGGCGCGAGAGCCAACGCAAGAGGCCATGGCGGCGGCGGCGGAGGAGGAGGTGGAAGAGGAGGACGACGGCGTGCACTGCGCGGTGTGCGGGAGCACCGACGGCGACCCGTCGGACCCCATCGTGTTCTGCGACGGGTGCGACCTCATGGTGCACGCCTCCTGCTACGGCAACCCGCTCGCCTCGTTCATCCCCGACGGCGACTGGTTCTGCTCCGTCTGCACCGCCGCCGCCGCCAAGAAGAGCAAGGGCAACAAGCCGCCGCCGCCGCCGCCACGCTGCTGCCTCTGCCCGGCGAGGGGCGGCGCGATGAAGCGCACGACGGACGCGCGGTGGGCGCACATCGCGTGCGCGCTGCTGGTGCCGGAGGTGTTCTTCCGCGACCCCGACGGCCGCGACGGCGTCGACTGCTCCCGCGTCCCCGCGCACCGCTTCGCCACGGCGTGCTACGTCTGCGAGAGCGGCGGCGGCTGCGCGCTCGAGTGCTCGCAGCCCAGGTGCGGCCTAGGGTTCCACGTCTCCTGCGGCCTCGACGCCGGCCTCTGCATCGAGTACCAGGAGGCCAAGGCCGGCGGCGGCGGCGGCGGCGTCGTCGCCGGCTTCTGCTTGGAGCACACCAAGCTCTGGGAAAAGGTACACAATTTTTCATTTTTGAAATTTTCATTGCTGCTGCGTTTCAGGAGTGGTTTGGTTGAAATTTGCAGAAACTAATTAAGCGATTTGAGATTTTTGTTTGTGTTTATTGTTGCAGCAACAATTGACAGGCAAGTACAAGATTGTGTCAAGAGGGCAGAAATGACATGGAATGGAAGAACCAGACAATCAGTTTCATTAGGATTTGTTTCTTTCTTTCTTTTCTTTTCTTTTCTTCTTTTTTTTTTTTTGCCTTGTGAAAGGCTGAATTGTACCAGCAGAAGAATTTTAGTATTGTCTTGTTTTGTGCATGAAATTGGGACTAGTTACTTTTTAGTTGGAATAAGAATTGGTATCTATTTCTGCAGAAGAGCTTCAGCTTGCTTAGATCAAACAATCTATTGAATTGTGATGCCAACCTTGAAATGATGTGGAAATGTCGAAGTTGTTTGCCATTCTGATGATTAAAGCACGATATTGGATGTCTGAATTTTAAACATTGTTTTCTGATGTCTTCATTTGGTGACAACTATTCACAAGAGAATCAAGCCATGTTCATGTGATGCCATGTGGACAAATGATCATCTTTCTCCGTTGATCTAATGACTGCACCAGAACGATTATACTAGGTAGTAAAATCTAAACTGGCACCTTTAAATTGGCAGTTTCAGTTTTCTTAATATGCTTGTGCTGTCAAGGACATTGTAATCCTATAAACAACAGTGCCTGACAGCCTCTTAAAATTTCAAGGAAAAAGTACGAATTACCCCCTTCCTCCTTCGAACTATTGCGGTCGGCCGAATTTCTCTCTGAATCTGAAAATCGGACATTAACAGTAATTATTACTAACTCACATAAAAATTATCAATAATATATATTACATAACGTGTGCACTTAACTAGGTAGCAGTGTTCAGCTGCAAAATTTGGTGGCTGGAGCTAGTAATGTTATTATTGAAACTAGAGAAGAATGAGATAACAAGAAAAAGATTGAATAGCAGAATAATTCAAAAACAAATTTTTAGTTTTACCTTGTACTGTGTTAAAGACAAATTTTTGTTGAAATATATACAATTTTAATAATATTATTACATTATTAATAAATAAGAGTACATCATATTATAGATGTGAGTAATTTTTTTCCTCGTGTATATGGTTGGTGAGTACCCTCCTTTCTTTCTTAGCTTCTCTCGGACTTCTCTTTTACTTTCAGCTGACAAACGTTCTTCGGCTTGAATTGAATAGAGAATGCTGACAACCTCTTAAATTCTCTTCCTAGAGTTATTTTGATATAATCTGACTGTTTTAATAATCTCAATGGGTAACTTAGATGGCAATAAGATAACAACATGTTCTTCCCAGCACTTGCACCATGTTCCCATATAATGTCATCCAAATCTGAACCGGTGTCATTTTTATTTTGGCTCAGTCTATCGTGGCAGGGATATATAATTGATTATTTTGAGGCCGTTATTCTTTGATGGCTTCTTTGCATCAATACAGGTTATGCTCAATCCAATCCCTGGTGGAACGCCCTGTTTTGACGAGTTTTTGTCAGTTGCATTTTCTCACGGAATTTGTAAGCTTCCTGAAACAATTAGATTCAATTGGATTTTAAGGTGGTGTTTGGGTGGGAGGGACTAAACCCTCTCACTAAAATATAAAATATAAGTTCCTATGGAATTTTAGTGAGAGAGACTAAAGTTTTGGTGCCCACCCAAACACCACCTATAGTAACAAAATTTAGAAAATGAATAAGGGGGTGTTTGGGGGAGAGGGACCAACACCCCCTAAGTAAGTAGAAGGCTAGAAGCTAATTTTAGCTTTTATATTCTCATCTCTAGCTTCTCAAATAAGTATTTGACATGTTTGGATCAGCGGTTTGGTAGCGTTTTTTTCAGCAAGTGAAACAGATAAGTCATTAGCACATGATTAATCAAACATTAATTATTATATAAATTTGAAAATGGATTTATTTATTTTTTATAAACATTATATACATAAAACTTTTGCACAAAACATATCCTTTAACAGTTTATGAAGCGTGCTCATGAAGAACGAGGAATTAGCCATTCAAAGATTTATCACACACCCGAATGGGAAGTAGCAGTCGGGAAGATGCTTCGCACTTGTTCTTTTGTACAAGGGCCTGGTTTAGTTCCTAACTTTTTCTTCAAACTTCCAACTTTTCTATCACATCAAAACTTTCCTACACACACAAACTTTCAACTTTTCCATCACATCGTTCCGATTTCAATCAAACTTCCAATTTTGACATGAACTAAACATACACTAGGACGTACTACTGATTGAGCAATTTGGGGTGTGTTTAGTTCACGCCAAAATTGAAAGTTTGGTTGAAATTGGAACGATGTAACGAAAAAGTTGGAAGTTTGTGTGTGTAGAAAAGTTTTAATGTGATGAAATAGTTGGAAGTTTAAAGAAAAAATTTGGAACTAAACTCGGCCTTGGATTTTGGAATGGCTAGGCATGATCAGATCTTGGTTGTACTAAGGCAAGTTAATCAATTACATTTGGAATTTTTATTCATCAGAAATTGAGAATTAGACATATTTCTTCATGAAAAAGCACACATTACCCTTATGAGAAGCCTCGAAGCGGGAAGTCTACTACGCAAACATGCGCGAGACTCGGAAGACAAGAAGCGGATCAGGCTGGGGAGGATCAAAGACACGTGGTAATGAGCGACAGACCGGTGGGGGACGCGAGCGATCACCCGCCCCTTCCCTATACCGTCGCTTCCTCCTTCCCTTTTTCTCTTCCTACTACACCATAAATATTTAAATTTAAATTTATAATTGAAACGGTTACGTAAATTTTTGACTTATAAACTTTGGGTCTATAAACTAATATTTGAATTCAAATTCAAATTTGAATCGGGTATGTATACTTTTGACTTATAAACTTTGGGTCTATAAACTTTAGGTGTATAAACTTTAGATGTATAGAAATACTATATATAAAAATATTTGAATTCAAATTCAAATTTGAATCGGATATAATTCAAATTCAAATTTGAATCGGATACAAATTCAAATTCAAATTTGAATTGGGTATGTAAAATTTTGACTTATAAACTTTGGGTCTATAAACTTTAGGTGTATAAACTTTAGATGTATCTAAATACTATATATAAAAAAATATTTGAATTTAAATTCAAATTTGAATCGAATATATTTCAAATTCAAATTTGAATCGGGTATATAAACTTTTGATTTATAAACTTTGGGTCTATAAACTTTAGGTGTATAAACTTTAGATGTATAGAAATACTATATATAAAAATATTTGAATTCAAATTTAAATTTGAATCGGATATATAAAATTTTGATTTATAAACTTTGGGTCTATATAAACTTTAGGTGTATACACTTTAGATGCATAAATTTACTAAAATAGAAAAGTAATACGGTGCAAAAAAAAAAAAAAAGGAAACGTGGAGGGAGAGAGGGTGGAGGGGTAGTGATCGCTACCCGATCGCGGTCACCCATTAGATTTTCCGCAGGCCGGTGCGGTGTATCGCTACGATACCGTTTTTGTTCCTAATTTCCAGTTTTTCCTTTTTATGTGATTCTTTTCAATTCCCGTTGTCCTTATTTTTACGTTAATTCTCCTGTAGAGGTATGTATCAATTTTCTGTTTTTCCATTCTTTTTTTCTTCAAATTACTTTTTTTCTTTATAGTCATTTTTAAAGCTATTCTAATGGAAACTTTTTATATGTAGTATTTTCATGGACCTCTCTACAAGTATGCTTTATATATATAAACTTTTTATATATAGATTTTATGTGTATAAACTTTCTATATATAGACTTTATGTATATAATCTTACTTTATGTATATACACTTTATATTTTAGACTTTTTTATTTATAAACTTTATATTATGAATTATATTTGCATGTACAAATAAAAAAATCTAAGCATCACCGGATTTTTTTCAAGAAATAAAATCTAATCTGATAATAGGGAAAAGTGATTGGTTGGTCGCTTAACCGAAACAATAAAATACTGTATGCGAACATAAACAGTCATTAGAACGAATAATTACAAAACCTATTAAATTGTTCGCGAGATGCGAACGTTCAAGGATTAGACCCGTCCGCCTCGAAGTGCTTTGTAGGCTAGAGTCACGGATCCAAAATTTATATTTCTCACAGTGCAGTGGCTATAGGAATGACTTTGATTTTATATTTTAGCCGTGAAATTATTTTTGTTCAGTTCTCATATTTCTAGAATTTGTGTTGAACCCCTAGAATCAAAAAAATAATAAAAAAAATCCCCTTCACCCGTTCTCTCTCTCTCGCCATCTACCCATCTCCGTCAGTCTCCCTACCGGCGGCAGATCCCCTCTCCTTCCGGGCGGCGCTCCCCTTGTTTTCTCCCCCGACCGACGGCCCTACTCTCCTGGCCGGTGCACCGACAAGCTTGACGGCTTGGACCGCGGGAGACGGCGAGATCGGCGGCGACCCCTCCCCCCTCCTCCTCCTCCAACCGGCGGTCTTCCTCCTTTGGCTGGACACCGATAAGCTCCTCTCCCTCTCCGTCAAGCTGTTGCGTGGTTTTGAGCGGGGACGACGACGAGCTCGGCGGCAGCTGAATGGTGACAAAAACGAGGTTAGGCGCCACCTCCTCTTCCTCATCCGCTGCCATAGCCGTCGCCTTATCGAGCTCGCCAGATCCGCTTTGGGGGCAGCGACATATCTCGTGGTGGTGGCCTCGCCGGTGACCGCCACCGCCTTGCACGGGGTCACGCCTCTCTCAACACGTCGCTCGCCCCGTGCCTCAGCTCCCGCCCTAATTGATGCCTGTGCAATTTCTGACGAAGAATCCGTATCTTTTATTTGGCTCTGCGGTCTTTAGGTTGGGAGCGCGGACACGTGCGTGGCGTGGAATCTCAGACGTAGATGGTCGATGCTGAACGCCATGGACGGACAAGATCAATACAAGCAAGTCCAAACGGCACAGTACTAGTCTATCACACGTCAACAAACCAGAGAGGGGAACCAGAGAAATCTCCCCTTGGAAGGGAAGCGAGCGACGAAGTAAAGAAAGAAATCGAGGAGGCGAGACGTGAACTGTCGTGCGCTCTTGAATTTTTTTTCAATTCTTTTAAAAAAAATTGGGAGTGATTTGTCTGTTGCTCTCGATCGATTGAGAGGGGGAAGAAGGGGAAAGCAAGAGGACAAAACGGCCTCGCGCTTTCTCCAGTTTCTTCCACTCAACCAAGGGGAATCCCACCGCTAGGGCTCTGCTGCTCTCTGTTGCCCATCCAAGAACGCACAAATCTTGCTTCCACCTCTGTTCCGATCGGCGGCGGCGCATGCTTCGTCTTGCTCCGGTGAGTTCATTCTTCTGCAGGAATTTTTCTAGCTTGCTCTTGCGGTTTCTTGGATCTTGGTTGGTGGATGGTTGTGTTGTCCGTTCTTGATTTCCTGCAACTTCGATTGGAAGGATGATCTGGGTGGGTGGAATACTCGAATCTGGGTTGTTGATTTTTTGGTGGGACTGTGTGAGGACGGTCAGTTCTTGTTGGTTTTGCTGCCAATGCGATGAGGGAGTACGGACGATGAACGCGAAGTGTTCGACGAAATTACTGACCGGAGTTATCTGAGGAGGTAGAGAGCTATATCAGGATTTGATGCCTCTGGATTGTATTTGCTTCTACGTATCTTAGGACAGCACATTCTGAACCTCCGGTCTGGCCGGAGCCCCGAGCCCACGGTTTAGGAGCGCGCCTTCGTCGTGCCCTAGACTCGTCACTGTGTGGGGTGGAGCAGGACAAGATGCTCGTGTTGATCACGGCTCCTGCTTCTTCGGAGGCGTGCAAGATGAGGGTGTACTCTGCTGTAAGCGGCCGCCGATGGCTTTGTGGGTATATCTCAAGCATATGGTTTGATTGTTCCCACATTTTTAAAAGTTGGGGGTTTTGGAGTTGTTTTTTTTCCCTTCTGGGTTGGGAGTATGGGGATTACAACTTGGAAATTGATTTCTAGAGTTAAAACTTTCTAATGCTAATTGCGGTTTCACCATATTCATCATTTGTGTGTTGTGTGCATGTTCAGAAATTTAGACATGGCACTTGTTGTCAGTAGTTGCTATTTCCTCTTTTTTTGGTATTTCTTTTTTCAAATTGCAATTGCACAAAGTATTTTATCAACTACTTATGTGTGCTTGAGCAGAATTCTGATACATATTGTTTTCTCTCCAGTACAGCAACATGACCATTCTAGACAACCTGCATCATTGATGTCCTTATCTTCATGTTGTTATGACTGATTCTTGCTACGGCACAGAGGAATCTGCAACGGAGATATTGCATTAAGATTACTGGGTGCTTCTTTGCTGAACTGCTCTAAATTAAATGGGGGAAGGTAACTGTTTCCAACTCTCTCTCTCTCTCTCTCTCTCTCTCTCTCTCTCTCTCATTCTTTTCTGAAGTTAAGCTTAGCTTTTCCTTGCTAGATCTCTTAAGACATGTGGGAAGCATTTCACTTTTGTACTATACACAAAATCCTTGAATCTGACATTTTGAGAAACATGTTTTTTTAGTAGGAGATTATGTCATGATACTGGCTTACTTGCAGTATATAAACATTGATGACATAAACTACTGTAGTTCCAACTTCCAAGTTATACTTTGACTCAAACATTTAGAGCTTTAACATAAATCATAAATGCAGTGGCGTTATCTTTGTTTTGTTGAGAATATTTCTTCTGTTAGCTTAATCCTATTTTTCCATCTTGCAGCAGGCTCGGATCAATTTTGCCATTGTCAGGGCTGTCTTGGCAAGTATACATTGCTCAGAGATGAAGAAAACCCACGGCTGGCAATGTTTGAAAGACGACTTCCTTGCTTTGGTTGTGGTATAGGATGGTCCTCGTGAGTATTCTCTGCTGCCCAAATCAACTTTGGTTCAAATTTCCAAACTAAAATTCTTCATGTGGCAGTATCAGATATCTTCTTGTTGCAGTTTCCTTTTAGGTTTCTTGTGTCCGTTGATCTGGTACTATGCAGCAACTCTTTACTGCTGTAAGTACTACAACAAAGATCCCCGAGAGCGCCCTGGTCTTGCTGCATCGGCGGTTGCGGTTAGTATTCCTTTCACGATAACCCTGAACATATTATTATAATACTAGTTCACTACAATTACTTATAGCAAGAATCCAGGGATCAAAACGGTTTCCTGAAAGAAGTCCATGATTCTTCTGTATAGGACATCAAACTCCTTGGTGGTTGATGTAATTGTGTTGATCTGGAGTCCCATGTTAAGAGTATGTATTACTAATAGTTTTGTGATGCGTTGAACTGTAATTAATTATGTAATCATTCTGGGGCTTGCCTGTTTGGTATATAGAAAAAGAAAATGAGGTATGGTCAGATGTACCCTATTTTTTTCTTAAGGGCCCATATGACTATATATGCCATAAGTCTTTTGCATTTTGTTCTGGTATATACTATATATGAACAGTATTGTTTGTATGATGCAAGAGATATTATTAAATGGCATGGCAGCTAATCTACGCAATTCATAAGTCTTTTGCATTTTGTTCTGGTATATTACCCGAGCATTTTAGTTACAGTGATTCTTCTCTAATGTCTTCAATCCATTCCACATGTGTAGGCGGCTATCTTCACAACCGCGACAATCATCACCCTCACCACAATGCTGATAATCTGTGTATACAAATGACATCTGAAGCTTGCGAAAACAGGGCTGGAGGATCCTCGATTGAGAGACTTGAGACATTCAGGATGGACATGTGATTTTAGTGATTGCAGCCAATTTTAACCCATCATATACCACAACGTTGTACTTGATCGAAACACGGTAGTAGCTTCGTCTGCTGCTACCTTTTGGTTATACTGTATTAATGTTCATTATTATTATTGTTACTGCTGTCACTAACTCTGAGCTCGCCCGGCTTCATTTTTACACAAGCTGTCAAAATTTCTATGGAACAATTATACACCCCTGCAGCATCCTGCCCCAATTTTGCGTGTCACGACCAGATATTCAGATATCAAATGGCATGTAAAATTAATGTCTAGAGTTTATTCTTTCTCCCATCCAAATGCATGATCTGAATCTTGTGACATGATGATAAAATCCACTGTAAAATTATACTGACTTGAATCACGTGGACCTTTTTTTTCTTTTTTGTTGAGTATAATCCACTTGTACTCTGCTCTACACCCTTCCTGATCTTGAATTGAGACAAAACAGATTGACCAGTACTAAACCTTCATTTACTGACTAAATCAACCTCTCATGAAATGCATATGTTCTTGGGGGAATGAAATGCATCTTCACATCAAAGTTAATATTCACACACCACAATTGCAACAGATCATACATGATGCACGAAACGGGGGAGTGACACATTGCACATATGTATGTGTTCTTGTTTCTTTTTTTTCTTCTTCTTGTAAGTTACATAGGCATGTCTTCGTGCACATGAGCACATATTCTATCTTTACCAGTTGTTTATTTATCTAGCATATAGACAGTAGTCATAGATTTACGTAAGGAGGAAAAATGGTTTTGCATACTACACATGCATCCATCACTGCACCAGCTTTAGGGCCTCTTTGAACGCATGAATTTCACAGAAATTTCATGTGTAAAATTCCTTTAAATTTAAAATAGAATTTATGTACATCACATCAGATCACAGACCACTCGCTCAACTAACCATGTAAATTTATAATCACTGTGACTAATGTCTCTTATTCCCCTATATATAACGTAATGTACCATCGATCACCACCTGTATTAATTAGCATACACGAATTAATTAATCAATGGAGCACAGTATCATCAGTGCATGTATGCCCTAATAGCTCTTGTAGATTGCAGAGCACCCATATCTAAACAATATTTTTTCTGCTATATCAATATGAAACCAAACAATGTTTTTCTGCTATATCAATACGAAACCTCGAACTGTATGGTTCGTTCCAAAGTGTCCAAAGGAAGTTGGTTCAATCCTCTTGTCTCCTGTGCACCTTCACCTTCAGTCCATCCCTCATGTGGAGGATGATGGACAGCTTGGGCCGCGGCGGCGCCGCGGCGGCGGCGACACGGAACCGCGGCACGACGGCGGCGACGACGGCCTTCATCTGCGCGAACGCGAGGTCGCGGCCGAGGCACGTGCGCGGGCCGACGTTGAACGCGGCGAACTTGCACGAGCGCTCGTGCCGGAACCTCCCCGCCGGCGTCAGCCACCGCTCCGGCCTGAACTCCTCGCAGCCCTTCCCCCACACCGCCTCCATCCTCCCCATGGAGTAGAGCGACACGATCACCCGCCGCGTCGGCCCCACGGCGGCGCCGCTCGGCAGCGTGTCCGGCCTCGCCGCCGCCTTGTGCTCGAACGGCACCGGCGGGTACAGCCGGAGCGACTCCGACAGCGCCGCGTGCAGGTAGACCAGCCGCTTCAGCTCGGCGCCGGTGGGTGACGGCGGGTGCGCGCGGAGCTCGGCGAGGATCCTGGCCTCGACGCCGGGGTGGTTGGAGAGCAGCCAGAAGAACCATGTCAGGGCCGAGCTCGTCGTGTCGCGGCCGGCGACCATGAGGTTCAGCGTCGTGTCGCGCAGGAACGCGTCAAACGCGGCGCCGTCCATGCCGATCTCGTCCTGGCATGCCAGGTACGCCGTGAGCAGGTCGGCGTCGCCGGTGGCGTTGGCGTCGGCCGCCTTGCGCTCTCGCCGGAGAGCGATGAGCTCGGCGATGGACGCGTCGAGCACCTCCCGAGCCTTGGCCATCTTCTTGTAGTGCCCGATCTTGAGGTAGCTCTGGAGCCTTAGCCATGGCACGGGCGCAACGTGGCGGTAGAAGAGCACCTCCTCGGCGTCGTCCATGGCCGCGGCGAAGGGGACGGTGGGGAAGTCGGCGGCGAGGCAGCCGGGGTCGACGCCGAACACGAACATCGCCGTGAGGTCGAACGTGAGGCGCATGAACACGTCCTGCAGGTCCACGGCGGCGCCCGACGCGGCGACCCCGTCGAGCAGCGGCACGAGCCCGCCGCCGAGCTTCCGCGACGTGCTCGCCGCCACGGCGGCGCGGAACCGCGCGTCCGACAGCAGCGCGTGCGCCTTCCGCCGCTGGAACGACCACGACTCGCCGTCGGCGTTGAAGATGCCGCCGCCGAGCACGTCGAACATGGCGGCGAACTCCTCCCCCTTGGGGTAGTTGCCGAAGTTCGCCGTGAACATGTGCGCCACGTTCGCCGGGTCGGCGGTGATGAGCACGTCCCCCGGCGAGCCCCACGGTCCCTCGACGACGTGCGACATCGCCGCCGCGCGAAGGAACTCCGTCACCCAGTCGTGGACGCGCCCGGCGTTCGCCACGATCGCCGGGAGCGCGCCGACCACCGGCCAGTTCGTCGGAATCCGCTTGCTCCTCCTCCTAAACCTGCAGAAGAGCAGCAAGAAGCAAGCGGCGGACGCCATGATCTCCGGGTACTTGACCACGAAGCCGAGAAGCCATGGCAGGAGCTCCATTTGGCTTGGCTAGCTCTTGATCAAGCTGGTGAGGTGTGTCTCTGTGGACTTGTGAGCTCGCTCGCCGCCATGGATGGAGTTTCGTGTGGTTATATAGATGATAAAAATTGTGGAGGGTTTGGGTTTAGGTCATTAGGTGAAAGGGAGTGATGAGGAGGGAGGAGTCATATGGTGCACGGCAAGTAGGCAATGCCACCTCATTTCAATCAAGAAAACAAATGAGTTATCTTTTCTTCCACATCAATTACTTCCTCCCTAGTCCCTACCCTTTTCAAAAAAAAAAAAACTTCCTCCCTTTTCTTAAAATGTTTAACACCGTTAACTTTTGGATCTAAGTTTGACTATTTATCTTATTCGATGAACTTATCTAATCATCATTTATTTGTTGATATTTGTTTTGTTATTACGAGTACTTTAAGCATGATTTATGATTTTACATATTTGTATAAAATTTTGAATGAGAACAATGGCCAAACGTAAGTAAAAAAATCAACGATGTTAAATATAAAAAAAATGGAGGAAGTATTATATTGGATTCACCATCAACATTGACCTAAATGCAACCACCTATGAACATGTAGGTATTGCAATTACTTTGGAAAAATAAAAAAACAGAATGTTACGAGTGTGGATTCTAATCCCTCGAGGGGATATCCCCTCGTATACCTTTTTCTTCCAAATTCGATGAAAATAGTTGTGAAAAATTCTAAAAAAAATTGATAATGTAGAGTATAATGATACCTACTAGTCCACCAAAATTCATGTTTAAATTCGATCTACACATCGAGAAACAAAAAAGACAAATTTAGATATAAACAGTACGCTACTATTCATACGCTGAATTTGTCTTTTTTATATCTCGACGTGTGAGTTGAGTTTGGACTTAAGATTTTGTGGAGTTGTATATATGTGTTGTATGAATGTTTTCAAATTTTTCCAGAATTTTTCATAACCGTTTAGATGGTTTTTGAGCAAACGAGGGAACATTCCCTCGAGGGATTAGAATAGTTTCCCGAATGTTACTCCCTCTAGTCACAAATTATGACTTTGACCATTTAATTCTCCTTTCTATAAATACATAGAAAAGTGTTACGATATAAGTGTGATATTATGAGATATTTTGTTATAATAAACTTGCACGTGTCATTTTCATATTTCTGAATAATCATTATGATTAAAGTTAACTTATGTTAACTGCATGAATTTAAATATGGCACTCTTTTTGTGTCTGGAGGAAGTATGTGATTTATTTTCTTTGCTTGAACCAAATTGATGTAATGTATAGCAAGTTCGTTCTAGTAGACATAAAAGGGTTACCACTGAATACTGATCACATCAAGATTAGCTGGCCATTAGTTTCTGGTCAGACAGGGTTGGAAAAGAGGATCATACAATCCACTATTGTCAGTAGTGCTACCATTTGTGCTGATCATTTTGCCACCATTAGGCAAACTTCTGGTTTCTCCAACCAAAAGTTCTCTTCTAGTGCAACAAGTTAAAACTGCCCACAGATAAGGTACTCCTGTACTCTATATATGATTCATTAGGCCTTGCTGGTATACCAAAAGAGTTTTCTTGTGATTAAGAAAGTTTGCCTAATGGCCTCAAAGAAATATTATTTACTTCACTTATATATATGTCACTAAGGTTTACCTATGTCTGAAGTCGTCATTTCCATTAAGAAAGCAGACCAGTTTTGCAGTCTCTGGTAAACGTGCTATTGAAGTCTTTTGGTGAACTTACTTTGTAGTACAATTTTTGAAACTGAACAGCGATGTGCTACTTCTGTTTTTTTTTTTGTTCCTTTGTTCTAGACCATTTCAAAAATAAAATTATAGTTTGGATAAATATTTGCAAAAACACCAAAAAACATCCAGAGGTCACATTTCACCACAAGCTGAAGGCATCTTTCACCAACTACTCGGCGACAATGAGACCATCAAACTTTTCGATGAGCTGAACCAATACAATTCGCTTGACGATTCTGAGTTTACACGAAAAATATAAGTGGGCCCAGCCAAATGTTTCTTTTAAAAGTGAAGAAATGATGGAGCCTCTGCAGTCTAATGGTTTACTTGTGAACTGGTCATGAAAACGAAACAAGAATTATCCTATTCTCGTATGCAGGTTTGTAAAGCCCATCACATACAGACGTGGTCACCAGATAATAATAATCACCCGATACTTACTCTCAAGTCTTAACTGATATGTTAAGTACACTGTTCTTCACAAATACTTGAATAAATCAACCCAAAGACCATCACACAATCATATACCAATCACCACAACATTTTTGTTCCTTTCACATGGTTACAATTCTGACACTAATCCAACCAGACATTTTACACTTTCTAATAATAATTCCATCTCATCAACTCTGCATATAGACATCTAGTCTCATGCAGATATACATAACACAAGAAAGCAGGATAGCTAAGCTGACAGCATGGTTATCAAGCTGCATCCCTTCTCTTGAGCCTGACCATCATGCCGTTCTGCGTGTGAAGTATGACAGAGCTCTGCGGCATCACCTCATGGCCCTCGACCAGCTCAACCTTGAAGTTGTGGATGATGGAGGCAACGATGATCTTCATGTTGCTGAGGCTGAGTTCCTTCCCGAGGCAGCTCCTGGGCCCGGTGTTGAAGGACAGGAACTTGTAGCTTGGCTCGTGGCGAAGGCGCCCGCTCTTCGACACCCACCGCTCCGGCTTAAACTCCATGCAGTCCTTGCCCCAGATCCCTTCTATCCTCCCCATGGCGTACAGCGAGAAGATGATCCTCGTGTTCCGGCTCACCTTGGTACCGTTAGGGAGAACATCGTCAACGAGCGCCTCCTTCTCCTCGAACGGGGTTGCGGGGAAGAGCCTGGAACACAATTCAAGCAATGTAATAGTTGGTCAGAATGTCAGAAGATGAAGAGAGGGAGATTAATTGTTAGTGAGATTGGGGGAGAATGGGGAGATCAAAGATGTGTCACCTTAGTGTCTCAAGGAGTGCGGCTTGGAGGTAGATGGCAGACCGGAGCGTGTCCCACTCGAAGACATGGAGGTCCCCGGGCCAGGTGGAGCTTTGAAGGCCCTTGAGCTCTTGGAGGATCCGCGCCTCGACATGTGGGTGCTTGCACATCATGTAGAAGAACCAAGTCAGTGTGACAGCAATGAGATCTTTCCCAGCAAAGATGAAACCCACTGCCGTGTCACGGAGGAACCGCTCATCCTTCTGCTTGTGCGCACTTTCATGAATGGACCATTTCATGTACATGGACAGGATGTCTCCCTGGAGCCCATCGCTTGCCTGCGCCTTCCGTTTGGCAATCTCCTCATAGATGAATTGATCGATCACCACCTTTGCATTGGTCAGCTTCTTCTCGGTCCCGACATTGAGCAGCCTCAAGAGCTTCCACACGCTTGGTGGTATAACGTGCCTGAACAGCACTGCCTCCTCAGCTTCCTTCGTAGCTTGGCCAAACACAGGGATTGGGGAAGACACTGACAAGCAGTCAAGGTCAGCTGCAAACACAGTAGAGTATGTCACATCTAGTGAGAACCTCATGAAGACACCCTCCAGCTCAACCTCTGAGCCAAACTTAGCCATGTGATCAAGGTAGGGTAACAAGACACTGCCAGTCTTCCTCGTGATGGTGGACATCGCAAAGGACCGAAAGGTACGGGCAGCAAATATGTACATTGCCATGCGTCGCTGATACTCCCATGATTCAGAGTCTGCTACAAGGAGTCCATCACCTAGAATGTCAAACATTTCAGCAAACTCACTGCCTTTCGGGTAGTTTTTGAAGTTGGCATTGAAGCAATGGTTGACCGTGGCTGGGTCACAGGTAATCAAGAAGTTCATGTTGAGGAACCACGGGCCACTGACCATGAAGGTGCACCCCGCCTCGCGGAGCACATCTGCGACTTTGTCATGGATATAGTGCAGATTCTGCACGAGGAATGGAAGCATACCAAAAACAGGCCAGTTCACTGGGAGGTTGCTCTTCTGGCGCTGCCTGATGGGACGGAAGAGTGAAAACCAGAAGAAGCAGATGATAGCTAGGAAGATCTCAGGATATAGCAGAATGAAGGTCCAAAGGGGGCCCATGGTTGTGCAGCGTTATGAGCTGCTGAGGGAAGAGGTGCATGCAGCAAATGAGCCTAAGCTTCACCTTTGGATTTCCTGCATAGCTTCGTTGTGCAGATATAAAGAAGCTGCCTATGTGCATTGATGCCTTGTGGCATCAGAAGTCAGTGCCCTAAAGTTTAGGGACTCACAACATTCATATGTTATAGATGCCAAAAATCTGAAAATCATATTATTAGTCTTTTACCAGGAGTAGTTCTGTCCAGCAGAAAATCTCTAACGAATTTGTATTATCTGTTGATATGAGATTATTGTCACTCATCAGGCAAGCAGTGTGTTGACATTTCTGAATTTATGCAATAAAAGAACAATTTTATTATTCATCAATTCATATGGAATTAGTGGTTACACATAAATAACCATCCTAATATGCTGATTCTGATCCTTATCCTGTTTAGACAGGTAAAATGAACATGATTTTTTGAGAACAAATAAGAACAAGAAAGAGAGCAGAATGTTTCTAAAACTGGTGTAAAAACTAAGGCCTTACTTGTTTCCCAGGTAAACACCCAAAAAGTGTGGGATTCTTTCAAAAGTGTGGGGTTCCACTCATGCAAATTTTGTGATGCTAACATGTTCCATGGCAAGAGGGAATCAAGCTACTTCCTCAGATGAAACCAACACGGCTCGGCATCCTAACCAGCGACAAAGTAGCTAAGGACAACCTTGTTTTGTGTTTCTTATCACAGTATGCGTCACAGCGTCAGCATATAATTACCGAATCACTGCATGAAGACCAAAACAATAAACTGTTTGCAGAATAAGTGTAATCTATCAGAGAGGTGAATCACAGAGGATCACTGAAACTAAGGTAAGTCGCAATCTTAGTATTAGCATTATATATTCTTTTGAGAATCATGTGTTTGAACCAGGACCTAGAAATATATTAGCTAGATCATCTTACAAAGACCAATTCCTACCGAAACTGCATCGCAAAATTCACGGCAACCGGAATCAAGATTTGAGCAGGTCATACCAAATCATTGCAAGACATTGGAAACGAGCTTGACTAACGAAATGATAAAAATTCATAGTTTCATCTGCGAGTGAAATTTTTCTCCAAACATTTAGAGCAGCGGATGCATTAGACACATACAGAGAGGGAACACCACTAGGTGGTCTTCTGGAAGAACGCGTCGATGCGGCGGGTCCCACGTGGCAACGGCTTTGCCTCTCCTCTTCCGCCGCCGCGGCTGGGACCGGCGGCAGCCGCGCGAGCAGGCGCCGCCTCCTCGGCGGCGGGGAGGCAGTCGAGGAGGAAGTCGGCGGTGGGGCGGTGCTCGCGCGCGGCGGCCCGCACGTGCACGGCACGCACCGCGCGCCGGCCGCGCCGGGAGGCGGCCCTGTGGGCGCCCGCGGCGAGGGAGCCGACGAAGAGCTCCGTGGCCGCGGCGATGAGCAGCGCCGCCTCGTTGGTCACCTTCTTGATGTCACGGTCCACCCGGATGATCCGCTTCACCCTCCCCAGCGGCAGCGCCGGCCGTTGCGCGGCGGCGTCGCCATCCTCCCCCTCCCCTTCGACTTGCTCCATCGGCTCGGTGGCCTCGTCGGCGACGGCGTCTGCCTCCTCCTCCCGCTCCCCTTCCGGCTCCATCGCCTCATCGGCCTCATCGGCCATGGCATTCGCCTCCTCCCGCTCCCCTTCGACGACTTCCTTCATCACCTCGCCGGCCTCGCCGGCGACCGCATCGATGGCTTCCTCCCGCTCCCCTTCGGCTTGCTCCATCACCTCGGCGGCCTCATCAGCGACCGCGTCGGCCTCCTCACGCTCCCCTTCGACTTGCTCCATCGCCTCGGTGACCTCGTCGGCGACGGCGGCGGCGGCCATGGCTTGGGTCGATTTGGGATCTAGGTTTCGGAGAGGCCAAAGAATGATGAACCGCGGCCGGCGCGAACCGGCGGGAAATTCCTCGGTTTTTCCCGCGCAAACCCCGACGCAGAGGCGGCTACGGCGGCGCTGGGAAGGGAATTCGCCGTGGGCTTCGAAAAAAAGCGGAGGCCCATGATGGCGCTTAGCCCATCAAGGCCTCGTTAGGAGGCCTAAATCTGGGCCCATTACGTAGTTAGGCCTGATGTTTGTTTCAGATCCCGGCCCATGTAAGTATATGGGCCGGATATTTCGAGCCTGGGGCCGTGGGCTTAGATCGGATAATGGGCCAGCGGTCTGACGTTGATGCTTGCGTCACGTGCCTCCTTGCTACAGCAGGGAATGAATTTATTTATTATTATGGTTACTGTTTCTCTAAGCATAATTGATCAGTGACAGCATTTTTCTCATGGAAAACTATATTTAATTAGCGTCTCTATCTCATAAAGGGACTTTCGGTAAGGTAATGGTAAGACAGGTGATCGATCATTTCATCAACTTGGTGGAGAAAAAAAAAGGCAATTAGCGTTTCATCATTAGTGTAATTAAGTAATATATCTGCAGATTGTATATCCGGATCGCGTTAATTAGCATAATTAATCAAGATTTGACCTCGAGATTGTTGTGGAGAAAAAACTGTCGTCTTTGTTGTCTCGAAGCTACTACTACATTTTCTTCTGACAGAGGCAATGTGGCATGCTGCATGTGTGGTAGGTATAATTAACGCCAAATGACATGCTAGCAAGCCGTATGGACTTAAGTAAAACTTGATGATAAACTGCACGTGCAATTAGCCACAAGTTAGGAAAATGTTTTTTTTTCCCAAAAGAGCATACACACCGGTGACTGTACGCCTAATTGACCTACGTGCACCGGAGTAATTAATTATCGTAGAAGACTGAAGTTTTTTAGAGTTTGAACAAAACTCCATACAACTAAGTGGGTGGGGCTAATAGGCGAGCATTTATGGGTTACAAACGCATACTGACAGCCCAGCATCCCATTACCCTAATCTCCAGCTCTCTCTCTCTCTCTCTCCATCTTAGTATTCTCCAAACTTGACCGTGAACGAGCGTACAAGTTCAGCGATAGGAGCGGGATGTGTCAAAGATGGCCTTTCTCTGGCGAACTCCCTTCTCTCCCCTTTGGTGTTCTCACCTCCTCCACTGCAACCGCCAGCCTCGCGAGCATCGAAAGGCACCAAGCATGCACTGTGGCCCCGGCAGTTGATCTCCTCCCCCTCTCTTTCGTCTCACTTTGCCCCTGCCACTATCACCAATCCATTGTCTGGGCGCATTCGTGAGGTGCCCACGCGTGTTCGGGAATTAGGCTTTTCGCAACTAAGTACAAGTGATGTATATCCGAAATATTCCCCACATAAGAGCAGGTTTAATAAGGTAGATTGAGCCAGTGATATGAGCTACACGTCAGATTTGATGATGATATGGGCGAGAGAAGGGAGGAAAGAGGGTGCGAGCGGACGGTAAATTAGTCGCCAGCGCACACGAGCTCCTAGACGTCTGTGCATTGCTTTTTGTCAGTGTTGCAGCGGAGTGAGAGAGGGAAGGGTAAAGAAGAAAGAGATTGAGGTGATTAAAAAATTAATAAAGATATTACTTGTTTAACGTATCAACAGTTTATTATTGTACTCTCTAACTATAAGATGACATGGTACACATTTATAGCTTGTAGCCGGCGATACTATTAAACCTGCTCTAAAAGCTAGGTGAAATACATTTACTCCCTGCACGTTCATACATGCATGTTTATTGGTTGACCGGAGAACTTTAACTATTAATTTTTAACCGATAGGAAAGCAGATAAATTTAAATATAAGATATTAGTATAGTAATTTTGATATAAAATCTAATGATACATCTTTTATGCTAAACTATTAGAATATTTTGAAAATATTATTGATCAATGTAGGATATATAACCCAATGTCAAAACCTACAGTTATTTGTTGTCACGGTTATCTTGTAATACCAAATTACCAATAATGTGCATACTGCATGTAAGTACATATACTACCTTTTTTTTTCTACTGCCTCCATCCCAAAACATAAAATTTATAACATACTGTCAAGTCAACCTTTTTAACTTTGATAATTAATAGCAAAAATAATTAAAAAGATCAATCATGTAAAATTGATGTTACTAGATTTATTATTAAACAAAATATCATAATAACTCTTTTTATTTAAGACATCTTATTTTTATACTTATTGTTGGTCAAAGTAGAATCTAAAAAATTGTATCTAAGTCCAAAAATACTTATATTTTAGGACGAAGGGAGTAATAGATAACACTATTGATTTCTGATACATGTTTGACCATTCGTCTTATTCACTTTTTTAAAATTATCATGTACTTTATTGTTAGTTGTTTTATCACTTAAAATACTTTAAGCATTATTTATATCTTACGTATTTGCACAAAGTTTTAGAATAAAACAGAAGATCAAATATATGTTTAAAAGTCAAATGTGTCACCTATTAAAAAACCAAGTGAGTATATGGGCATGTTCACTATGATGCTATTTTCAACCATATTATTCTTTGGTAAAGTTGTCAAAATTTTGGCTACGTTTAGTTTGTTGCTAAATTTTAGTAAGCACATATGAAATCTTGCCAAAATTTGACAACCTCGTTAACATTTTGTCAACTTTACTAAAATTTAGCAATGCTAAAACTTGGTAAGATTGAAAATGGTAGTAAAGTGGACACGCCCTATATCATGTATGGTCAGGCCATTTCCCACGCGCGCCACAATTTTTGGATTCGCCAATAATCTGTGTTACCGTGTCACGTATACACATGCATATATGCGTGCGTGATGCACGCGGCTCTCTTGCAAATATGCAAACCTGCAACGCCGAATGTGACGTTCGATGCGCGTAAATTTCGCTGATCGATACATGGAAAGCAACGTGTGTTTTGGGCATCGATCGATCGGTAAATCGCACCCGCGCGAACGTTCTAGCTAGCTGCTACGAACTCCATTCCAAATAGTTGTCGGCATCGTTTTAATTAATTTTGATGTTTTTTTATTGGTTAGACTGTAATGAACGAAAAGTTAGTGCTTAAGTTTAGGATGTAAGGGTATGTTCAGATTGTAGCCAAAATAAATCTTACCAAATTTTGATAATTTAACAATATTGCTAAGTTTTGACAGGATTTCTTATGTATTTACTATTTACTAGAGTTTGGTAAAAAAAACTAAATGGAGGTAATTTTCGACAACTTTAAAAAATGGTATGATTTGAAATGACATTAATTTGAACAACCCCTGAGACGTTTATGAACACCAAAGTATTTATAGTTCTAAAGAAAAAGACAAGTGCTTAAAATTTAAATATGAACATTATGTAGTGACCAAAGTTTTGAGAAAGGAGGGAGTAGTTAGCAACATCTTGAAGATTATATATATATATATATATATATATATATATATATATATATATATATATATATATATATATATATATATATATATAGAAAGGAACGAAACTTCAGGGTTTTCGACTCTGCGCTCGCTTCGGTCGCAGTGGTTCTGGAGTCCATCCGTTCGGAGGGCCAGCTGTGGTCTTTAGTCGGCGTTGCTTTTTTTGGGGGATTTCTTGGTAGTGTAGCGTGGCTCTGCCCCCTCCCGCTGTTTGGAGTTGCGTTTTTAACCGTCGTAGTAGTTCCTAGCTTCAAGTCCCCCCTTTTAGGCATAAGCCAGTCTGGCTGATTGCTTTGTATAACAAAAACTCATTTCCTGCTAATATATTGACGTGCAAATTTTTTGTGCGTTCGAGAAAATAAATATTCATGTTTCAAATATCGGAGAGACCGAGAGATAGATCATGTGAACTGGCATTGCCTGCAATATCCATATGTTGTTGAGTTGTTCTAACGACAATATTTTAACTAAATGTCAGGGTGTTGATGACTATTTTGTCACTAGTAAGCTTCACCGACCCTTTGTTTATCTAAACCATGCTGACACGGTCTAATAGTAGGAACAAATATGATTAGTAGAATATGGTTGAAGTACACGTGTATGGCTCCAGTCTAATTAATTAGTTTTGTGATGCACGGATTAATAATCTGCCATTTGAGCTGATCTAATCTTGCAAGAATTTGGAATCAACAATCCCCACTGTCTTTTTCGTCCTGTTTATTGTCACATCGAGGCCGTAACTATCAGAGAAATTGTGCTGCAATGCAAAACGACTCCAAGCCTGACGAACCTGATGCGTGATGGAGACTCCTTGGAATTAGCTGAGAAGGTTTTGCTTCACTGCTACTGTAGCTATAGCATTACGTGTTTCTGAAAAAAACCAAAATCATAAAGACAAAAAAGATAAGAAAATGACCAAGGGGAGAGAGACCACACGATCGAGCCACAGGTGGGTGTGAACAATGTGTAAGGAGAATTCATGGAAATATTGCATGTTCACAAAAAGGGCAGTAGGGAAATTAACCAACATTTCGTTACACGTACGTATGAAACTCTCACGTAGGAAGGTGACGGTGTGCAATGTGACGATGGTTTTGAAGACACGGTTTTATTTATGGATCGAATACGAGAGTTATGTGTCTCCAAAATTATGGATAGTTCTGGAGACACTGTTTCGAGTACATAGAATGTACGTGAGAATTCCTGCAAAGATATATTTTTCTGTATAAATTTTGCTCATATTTCATATAGTACTCGTCACGTCCAGAAAAATGTGTTTCTACTACTCAGGATATGGTTTAGGGTTTGAGTGAAAAAAGTATATTTATATGTGACTACAATCTTGATCTTAGAGGTGTTTGGCTCTATACTTCAGCTCAAAGGCCGAAACTCATTTAAAAGGTTACAATTTGGTTTTAAAAGAATTTTTGTCCTCACTTTTTATTACTAACTCTTTTTCATGACTAATAAAAGGAAACAGAAAAGGAATATCTAATAATACTACTCCCTTCGTCCCATAATATAAGGGATTTTGAGTTTTTGCTTGCTCTATTTAACCACTCGTCTTATTCAAAAAATTTGTGCAAATATAAAAAAACGAAAAGTTGTGCTTAAAGTACTTTGGATAATAAAGTAAGTCAAAAAAAATAAATAATAATTCTAAAATTTTTTGAATAAAATGAGTGGTCAAACAGTGCAAGTAAAAACTCAAAATCTCTTATATTATGGAACGAGGGAGTACCATTCTTAGAAACCGATCGAATTTTAAAAATTCGAAATTAGCATGTGAATCAGATCCTTAATTATTTAATCACTATATATAGAATCACATGCCTAGCTATTTACCCTCAAAAACAAAAACAATCATGCACGTGCGCTGAACTTTGCACCGTGTTTACGCAAAAGCGATTGAATTGACGAGCCGTTACATTTTGGCTCGTCCAGTGTCGTGTTCTAACGGTAGCAACGTGGTTGCCTGAAGTGAGGGTCCGCTGCTCACTGACATATGGGCTCCAGTACTACAGAGGATCTATATTGGTTGCTTGCATTGCCTACTACGCCTTTGAGAAACGAGCCGTCAGGTGACGTGTCTCCCAGGGATCAGTGAGTCCAGCGCGCGCGGATGTGCGTTGCCGAGTCAACTGTTGCGTGGCAGTGACATCTACTCCCTCCGTAAAAAAAAAAGACAAACTATGGGTTTCCATGTCCAATATTTGACCGTTCATCTTATTTAAAAATATATAAAAAAAAATTAAAAAGACAAGTCACGCATAAAGTATTAATCATGTTTTATCATCTAACAACAATGAAAATACTAATTATAAAAAAAAATTTCATATAAGACAAATAATTAAACGTTGGACACGGAAATCCAAGGTTTATCTTTTTTTGGGACGAAAGGAGTAGGCTGCCAGGTGGCACTGAGCTAGAAGCAGCTACTGCACTGAGTATAAAAATGGAATATCATGTACATCACAAAATATAAAAACTTATAATTGGTACCGAATGTGACACACGTAGTACTATGAATCTAAATAATTCCTAATAATAAGACATATTTTAGTACTATTATAAATCTGAATAGATCATGTCTTATATATTTTGGGACAATAATTGTTTAGCGTTTGATTACTTGCTTTTCTCAAACAGTGGCAATTTTGATCATGCATGTAAGCCAAGATGAGAATCACTAGTTGAGTGTAATTATTGAGTACTTTGAGCGAGACAAAAATAATTAAGAACTGAAGAAAGTTTTTTTCGTGAACGCAATTAAGAAGAAAGTGACGTGGAGATAGAAAGTAGAGAGAGGATCGGAGGGAAAAAAAAGGTAATTACTACAGATTAAGCTCGTGTTAAAATCATGCAGAATGATAGTGATATCTACCCTCCCATCATTTCTTGGAGATTCTGCTGCCTGTAAATATTTCAAAAAGGGTTCCATCCAACTACATTACATGCATGTTTCACTCATGGTCTCAGGGATATTATAATTAAGAGAATATGATACCAAAAGCTGTTTTTACAAGTAAGTTATAGGTTAATTTCAGCATAAAGAACGTTGCAATAATTCTTTTAGACAGTTAAACTTCTAAGTTTCTGATCTGAAGACGTATTCGCAACATTTTCTCTGAAGAAACTTTAGAGAGTTACTAGTAGTATGAACTATGCATCATGAGATGCTGCAGTTAGCAACCGCAACAAAAACACAAATAACAAACTAATATATACTTAGGAGTTCATTTAGACCTTAAACATAACAAAAAGACACAATTAGTGACCTGATTGATTCTGTCCATGATGAGGCATAGATGATGATAGATCATAGATTGAGGTTGGCAGCAATCAACTCAACTGGTACGAAGAACATGGCTGGAGTTCTAGCTTGTCTCCAGTGTCCAGCAGAGCAAGTCAAACACGCATAGCAAACATAAGATTAAACAAAAAATCCCCAGGACAATAGGTGTCAATACGATGTTCTAAAATATGTCATCTCTTTGTCATTATTAATCCCCATCAGTGTTGTCACCTAACTGATCGAGCCATTAACAGTGGATTCTGCACGTAATACGGCGAGCTCAAAATCACACTGACAGATCATAGAATGATTAATTAACCACGATTTGTGACAAAATTGTTGTTACTCATTTCATTATTGGAGCTAACTAATGGACTTGCAACCAACTGATTGTGATGCCAAACTTTATAACAAACCGTTCGAAATGTCAGAGCCACACTGAATAGCAAAATACCATTTCTACTGTTGATGTCAGAGTTCTTTGGATTTAGCTCCAACTAATATAATTCTACGAATCGATATGTTATCATAAAGCAATTCAGGATAATCAGTTCCACAGACCAACAAATGTCAACACTGCCGACCAAACAGCGCAGAACACGCGGAATCAAAAAAGAAAAAGACAAGTTCTTTGAAGCAATTACTAATTCATATCCAGAAACATCAGCTGTAGTATTATGGAAATGATTAGGTAGGCATCAGTGATTCAGTGGTAATTGCGCGGTGAAAGTTGCATCAAATACTGGTATGGTCAAAACTCAAAAGAAGTAATGCACACGCGTGGCTTGGGTTAGGCATAGCTGGCTGGAAAATTTTAAAAAATAGAGCGATTTATTAGCACATAACTAATTAACTATCAGCAAAAATAATTTGAAAAATAAATTACTACAATTTTTAAAGTTACTTTTGATAGAATTTTTTTTAAATAATACATCGTTTACTGTAACGTGCGCGTGAAAACAAAGTGGTCAGTTTGATAATTTTCTCGGATGAAGGGCCTGTTCACTTTGATGAAAAAAAACCTTACTAATGCCAAAATTTTGGTATAGTTGCCGCCAGAATTTTTATAGGATTTCTTATATAGATACCAAAATTTGACAGAAAAATAAATGTAACCACTTTTTGACAACTTTACCAAAATTTGGTAAGGTTGAAAATGGCATCAAAGTGAACAGGCGAAATGAGGCAGCCGGGAGGCAACCTGCTTTGTCGGATGCCCACATTTTTCCCATTGATAATATTATATTCTATTATTCTATTCTATTCTTGTGGTTTGCTTGGCGCCATCAGATGGCAATGCGTTTGTTTCAGAGCTTAAAAACCACCATGTGCTCCGTTCTCTTGTCCTGCCTATCTATCTAACAAACATATCACTGCTCAACTCACGGGTGCTCGTGCAAGAGGCCCCTCCATTTTCAGGCACCTAGCTAGCTCAGGCCATTGAAGAACGCATCCAAGAAAGGTGCGAGAAAGAACAGGAGCAGAGACTGATCAAGATTCAGTGATTCAGAATTGGAGAGGGAAGGAGAGAAGATTCAGAGAGAAACAGAAGCAGTGTAGATTTGGATTTCTAGTCCGTTTTGTCTGAATTTTTGGTGTGTTTGAGGCACGAGGAGTAAGATGGTGGTGCAGAAGAATCAGCGGAAGCCAGGAGAGGTAGGTGAATGCTTGGTTCAGTTCAGAACAGGTTGTTCTTGGTGATTCATCTGGCAGCTTAATTAACAGGGATAATTTTGGCTAATTTGGTGAATTGGTTGTGTGTTTTTGTAGGCTTCTTGGCCCAAGGTTGTGCTGAAGAAATGGCTCAACCTCAAGAGCAAGGATTCGGAGTTCAACGCCGACGAGGAAGACGACGACGACGGGAGCGACGTTGATGAGCAAGGTACATACTGTTTCTGAAAAACAAAAAACCTCTTCTCAGATCAAATTATCCATCTGAATTTAAGTGTTCTTGAGGAGAATTTAGTTACCAGTCAGGAGTCACATTTTTTCCTCCTTCTGATTGGTTCGGTTTCAAGCAGAGAACTGCGGCTGCGACGGCGGCGAGGAGCGGCGGCGGGCCGACGGCGATCTCGCCGGTGAGTCTTATGTCTATGTGACGGTTTGATGACATTCCCATGTTTGCGTGTTGCTCTTATCCTAAAAAAGATGGGGAGGAGAAAAGTGCAGCTTTGGACTGTTCAGAGTCTTCAGAGTGATAGTGCTGTTGTTTAGTGCTTTGCACCAAGCTTCCATCAAATCTTGTCTCCAATCACAACAATGGCTTACCTACAATTGCTCAAAGTGGCACCTTTTCTTTTTGGATTTTGGGATCCATTCAACTGACAGTACCAAAGTTGGGTTTTGTCCCAAAATCTTCTTGGCAGTAAAAAAAAGGTTCAATTTCTAGAAGGGAAAAGAAGCTACTAGTACAAACTCTGTGTTGTCTGGCCAATGAAAATGTGGAATCCAAACAAATCAACATTTTGTACTCCAAAAAATAACATTAGGAAACTGAATTAAAAAATTATTTTTGAGAAAATGTTACATTCCACCATTGCTCTTTTTTTTAAAGAAAAACTTCCATTGCAGAATTGGCGTTTTTTTCAAGCTCAAGGCTCTTTTGAAACGCATGGATTTTACAGAATAGAATATAAATCCTTCAAAATGTTGTGAGGTCTTTATCTTGTTTGGTTTTTATTAGTTTGTATCTGATTTTGGTTTTGTTACTTTGGTTACATACTCACTGTGCGAGTTTATTTTTGTGTGAACCTTATAATAATTGGTTGTAACTCATTGAGTAAAGACCCGAATGTTTTATTCCATGATTAAAAAATTAATCCTTCAAAAATCCCTCAATTTCAAAGGAGGTCTCAAACAAAAATAAGGAGAAAAAAAAAGTTGTACAGAGTTGCTCATCACACCCTAACCATTTGTAAAAATGCCCAGATGAGAATGTGGAGGGCGGCGCGCCGTACAGGCTGCGGCGGCGAAACTCGGAGACGCTGCGCGCGCAGTACATCAACACCAAGGAGCTCAAGCTCTGCGTCGGCACCTGGAACGCCGCCGGCAAGGTCCCCCCCGGCGACCTCGACATCGCCGACTGGCTCGGCGCCGGCGCCGGCGAGCCCGCCGACGTCTACGTGCTCGGGTTCCAAGAAGTGGTGCCGCTGAACGCCGGCAACGTGTTCGGCGCGGAGGACGCCCGGCCGGCGCAGGCGTGGGAGGAGCTCATCCGCAGCGCGCTGCGGCGGGCGCGGCCGCCGGCGAGTAGTCGGCCCCGGTACAAGTGCTACAGCCACCCTCCCTCGCCGTCGCGCGGGGACGCGACGGCCGCCGCCGCCGCCACCGATGACGACGAGCTCTTCCCTGGCACCGATACGGACACGGACACCAACACCGATGACGACTCGCTCTTCAGCTCGCCGGCGGAGTCCGAGCAGCAGAACGTCGCCGCCACCCCGAGGAGGCTGACCAGGCTGAACCATTTCACTGCCGCCGCCGACGCCGCCGCCGCCATGGACGACTCCGGCGACGAGCATCAGCAGCGGACGCTTCTCAAGACACTGAGCAGGTCGGACAGGGTCGGCCTGGCATGGCCGGAGCAGCCGCTGGACCTGCTCGCCAAGCACGCCACGGCGACGGCGAGTACCACCATGCCATCGTCAAGATCCTTCCGAACCTACAACTCATTCAGGCCGTCTCGCGCCGCCGCCGCCGCCGACCAGTCGAACGACGACCTCGCCATGATCGCCGACCTCGTCATGGACCTCGCCGCGGCGCGCAAGAGGCGTTCGCCGTACGTGAGGATCGTGAGCAAGCAGATGGTGGGCGTCTTCCTGACGGTGTGGGTGAGGCGCGGGCTGAGGAGGTGCGTCCACAACGTGGGGGTGTCCACCGTCGGCGTCGGCGCCATGGGCTACATCGGCAACAAGGGCGCCGTGTCGGTGAGCATGTCGGTGTACCAGACCATGTTCTGCTTCGTGTGCACCCACCTCGCCGCCGGCGAGAAGCCCGCCGACCTCCACAAGCGGAACGCCGACGTGCAGGAGATCCACCGCCGGACGCACTTCGCCGGCGTCGGCATGCCGAGAAACATCTATGACCATGAGTAAGAAGCTACTAATCCGCATTTTTTTAAAAAAAGATTCAAAGTGCATCCAAATCATATCTGATCTGAATTTGAATGTCAATTGTGATTTTCTGCAGGAGGATTTTTTGGTTGGGTGATCTGAATTATCGCATCGACGTCGCGTACGAGAGAGCACACGAGCTGATTTCGACGATGGATTGGACTCAGCTGGCAGAGAAAGATCAGGTACACATCTGAAGAACAAGAATAATTAGCATGAGAGCCTCATCGTTTGCCCTATATAGAATCGTCTGTTACAACAAAAAGTTCAATTCTAAAACTTAATTTTAAAGTTGATTATAAAATATTTTAAATAGTTTCTTCTAGCATTGGGTTTTAAGTGACTAATTCTACATGTATAAAAGTTTTATCTATAAATTTTGTTTTCGTCGCTAATAAACCATTTTAGCTTATAATTAGCTCATAGTCAATCGATCGGGCCCTAAAGTTTCTGTGTGGCACATCTGAATCTTGCTGTTTGATCTGAATCTCTCTGATTATTATGTCTGAATAATAAATCAGCTGAAGCGAGAGCTAAGGAAGGGTCGGGCGTTCGACGGGTGGACGGAAGGGGTGCTGGAGTTCGCGCCGACGTACAAGTACGAGCTCAACTCGGCCAAGTACATCGGCGACGACCAGCGCGGCGGCAGGAGAACGCCGGCGTGGTACGTTCGTGCAGCTGCTCACTGCAAAATGCACGTCACTCTATTTCATATTATAAGTCGTTTTAACATTTTCTTAAGTTAATTTTTTTAAGGGAGAATAGCTAATATGGTCCTTAAAGTTTCGCTCCTGGATCATTTTAGTCCTTAATATTTTATATTGTCCAAACAAGTCCTTTAAATTTATCATGTGGACTGATATAGTCCTTGGTCCCACCAAAATCGCCACATGGACATGCCATGTCATCATTCATGCAAAATCTATATGATTTGTCCAATTTACCCTTACGCATAGGAAAATAAAAAACAAAAGGAAAAAGTTAAAAAAAAATACATGGTATATGTAAGAGCAAAAATATACCTCAAAAGGGTGAAAAAAAAGAGTATTTTTTTCCTATGGCTATGTCTAATTCACCCTTATATTTATTTTTCTATTATATACGTAAGGGTAAATTGGACAATTCGTCATAGATTTTGCATGAATGATGACATGGCATATCCATATGATGATTTTGGTGGACCCAAGGAGTATTCTATGCCTTATGATAAAATTTAAGGATTTCTTTGGACCATTTAAAAGGTTAGGGACTAAACTGATTCTACAGAGAAACTTTAGGGACTAAAGTAGCTATTCTCCCTTTTTTTAAGTTTGATTAAAATGATAAAAAAACATAGCAGCATTTTACAATTTTCTTTTGCTCAAATTCGCACATTTTGCGTGTGTAATGCTGCGATGAGAGTGCGATTTTCTGTTTGTTTGTTTGTTTATGAATTTTGGATGATGTGTATGATCGATCAGGTGTGATAGGATACTGTCGTTCGGGAAGGGGGTGAAGCTGATGAGCTACGGGAGGGCGGAGCTGACGATGTCGGACCACCGGCCGGTGGTGGCGACGTACGCGGCGGAGGTGGAGGTGTTCAGCAGCAGGAAGCTGCAGAGGGCGCTGACGCTCACGGACGCCGAGGTGGAGGCCGGCACCGTCGTCGCCGTGCCGGACCACCTCGCCGGTTTTTGAGGGCGAGAGAGGATCGGTTTCTGCAAGGATAACTTGTAGTTGTAGCGCTCCATGTGTAAACACTGTAATCGGCTAATCGCCCATGGCCGTGAAGGATTCTCTTCTTTCTCAAGCTCACAATCCACTGGTGCATTTGCCATTTTGCTTCATACTGAGTAAACCCGGAGAAACGTTCGTGTAAGCTCATGTATTTTTTTTTCCTCGCAAAAACAAATCTCATCAATTTAACATCAGTGTAGGGAAAGGTAAAAATTATATAACGACAGTATATGAAAAGTGTAAGCTCATGTATTTTTTTTCTCGCAAAAACAAAATCTCATCAATTTAACATCAGTGTAGGGAAAGGTAAAATTTATTTAACAACAGCATATGAAAGGCAAACAATAGGGAAAGGTAAAATTTATTTAACAACAGCATATGAAAGGCAAAAAATACTGAAAAAATGCACCAGCAAGGAATCGAACCAGGGTCTGTACCGTGGCAGGGTACTATTCTACCACTAGACCACTGGCGCCCTTGATGAAATAAAACTGACTGGTAATTTCATATAGTTTGATAACTTGCATTTGCTCCTTATTGCAGGATACAGATTTGTTGTGTTGCTTTCAAATATCTAAAGGTTTCGGTAACTATCAGGTAGTGATGCCTATTGCTGTAGTGATAAACAGAGAAACACCATCAGCCAACATGCTCCCTTGTACAAAACGCAAGCTGCAAATACAACTGAACGAGTAGCTATGCATTTATGCAACCGTGCTCCAGAATGATGATTAAGCAATAGCATTCCCCAGAGTGGTCACCAGAGGAACTGAATCTCAGCACGTAATACTGCTGTAAATGTAGTGCTACTCTATACTTCAGCACTGACATTAACAAGGCACCAACAGCCGACGGCTACACCGTTGGGGTCACATGCACATTTGACCAACATATCACAAAAGATTCAGAACAAAATTTGGGTGCTTACTTCTGTGCACCATTGCCTCATGTGCAAAAGCCTATGGTTCACAAGGAAGCAGATATGACATTTGCCAGCTACACGATACAATGCACACTAGTGATAAATATGAGGTTGCAGCAAACAAAAAGAAAAAGAAAATTCTGTGCTCCATTGTCACTGCCTACTCTTTGCGAACCGCTGCAAGGCCTTTGGCAGCTCAATCTCCTCGCTGACCCGCTGTTTCTTGTCAGGCCTCCCATCGTTTTCCTTGTGTTGCTCCAGGAACGGCCTTTTGGCTTTCAAAACTTCTTCCTCCCTCTTCTTGGCCCGCTTGCTGGCTTTGCTCCTACCCTTGGTCTTCTTCTTGAACTCGATGCTCTTGGCAGCCTCTACGGCGTCTTCCATCTCCTCCTCAATCTCCTTCTTGGTCTTCTTCTCTTTCTTCCTTGAAGGTCTTACGGTAGCTATCATGTTCGGATTAAGCATTATCGTCTCTGGCTGGAGCTTGTTAAGCAGGGATTGCACCTCCTTCTCCCTTCTCTGCTTGGAAGTCTCAACGGGGTTGTCAACAAAGGTATCAAAGTTTGGCTCACCAGATCCAGGAACAAGAATGGCAGAAAGGCCCATGGAGTGACCAATCCCCAGAACATCCTCGTAAGGACGGAACAAAACCTTCCCAATCTGGTATCCCTTTACCATTCTATGTTTCATATAAATTTTATAATCCTGTCCCCCGGTATCCCTGAATATCTCTACTTGAGATCCATTGCTGCAGGCCAACAAACCTTTCTGGCTGAAATCCAGGGATTGTGCACGTGCAGCATAAGAATTTATAACCTCATACTTCCTGAGATCCCAAATCTTGACCTTCCTGTCAACACCTGCTGTTGCCATAAGATGACCACCCCTGTCAAATGCAATGGCTGTCACAGGGCCACTATGGCACAGCATTGTGACAAGGGGTTTCACACTGGTTGGCTTCCACATGGTAACTTTGCCACCAGCATGCCCAAGGCCAATAACAGCATTGTAAGGATTTAGCCGCATAACATCAGTACGTCCCAGACCTGTCCTGTAATTTGCAACCATCTCACCAGTGCTTATATCTTGGTAATGGAGCTGCCCAAAGCTGTTTATTGATGACAAGAGAAAGTGCTTTTCCAGAAATTGGAGCTTCAACGATTTACCATGTTCCTGTGGACACAAAACATTCAGAATCCTAAACAAGATAAGATATACATTCAAATCTTTACTGAACTTTGAGAGATACCAGTATACCACATCAAAGCATAGACATACATAAAGTAAAAATTAAATAGCTATAAAGTTTTAACTTTCCTGCATGTTAACTGAAAACATGTGAAACAACAACAAAACTAACAATTTCTCAAAATCATCAATAGCTAGGCACATTCATTCAGAAAGCCAATGTGTTTACATCATAATTACCTTTAAGCAGTGAATTTCTGTGCCATGTCGATTATATATGTAGGGGTACCTGTTAAAAGAATATCACATGAGGAAGTCTAAAAATTACATGGAAAGGTAACATAAAATGTTTGACAATATTTGGAGTTATGCCCACAAATTTCATCAAAAATAGACGTGGAAAACTGTGGAGATAAGCTATGTATTACACGCTAGTGAAAAAAAAAGTAAAATATAGAAAATATTTTAAAAACCAAATTTTGGTGTGGCTCCACCTCTGGGCTGGCCAAAAAAAAAAACAAAGGTTCCCTGCCATGTACAGGAATGATCATCATTTCCAGGGACAGATCAATGACTTATACTCCAGTAGGGCAATCAGAACTCAGAAGGCAATTCTACCCCAGCCTACCGCACATTGCTCAATTTGCTCATCCTCAATCTATGTACTAGCAGTTCAAAAAACTGCCAGAAATTAGGCTTCTTGTTCACGGAAGTAGCATAGAATTATACCACTCCAGCAAATTTTTATAACGAATCATACAGGAAATCTTGCATTATTCTATAGCCTAATTGATCCACAAACCAAACCATAATGTGCTAGAAGTACTTATGTGTGTTTAAACTTTAAAGCTCTGAGCCTCTGAGCAATCAGCCTAGTTTGATTCTTGCACTGTTTGCTTCATTGACCTCTCAGTTTGTTTATATAGTCAGACTAGGTTGATTCTTGCATTTTTTGCTTCATTGACCTCTCAGTTTGTTTATATAGTCAGCCTAGGTTGATTCTTGCACTTTTTGCTTCATTGACCTCTCAGTTTGTCTACATCTTTGTCAAGACTCAAGACCAGAATATGGAACATGTTGACCTATGTTATGAGCATTGGAAAAATATTGCAAAGATTGAGTATATTAAGGAAATTACTTTTTCTGGGCGACAGCATAGAGTTGCTCATTATGTAAGAATGCCACATCGCGCACAGTTTCCCTCACCTGTGCAAATTAAAAACAGTCATGTTGATTACTATAGCCAGGGAAAAGAACTTGAAAGAATAGGGGACATGGTAGGAATTTGACCAGGATAAAGATGGTTCTGTTCTTTCATAACCAGAAACCTCTACTACAACAGAAAGTGCCATAAACGCATGGATAGAAATACCAGTAGGAAGACGTAAAAAATATGACTCATATAAGGAAAAAAAATGCATGCTGGGAAAAGTCTTGAGTTCTGAAAAAATGACCTGAAACTCCTTGACGAGTTCCAAATTCAACATATCCATCATAGCGACATGACCTTTTCGTCCACCTACTACCATATACCGGCCATTTCCCGTGTATCCTAGAGTATAAGGGCCAAGTACTGCATCATAAGAGAAGAGCTAGTCAATCCCTCATAACTTGTTGGTTGTCATCCGAAAAGTTAATAGCAGCAAGTAGATGAAAAGTGCTATCTAGCAATTATTCCAAAAAAGATACATTGTTACATGATGATACAGAAATGAAGATAAATAAATGCTATGGTTATATATATTTAAACAAAAAAAAATCAGCATTCATCCAGATAAATAGAACAGTGTACCCCTGCCACAATTAGAAGAAGTGAAGAAGGGGGAATTTACAGAAGAGGAACAGGGAAAGTTTTATAGTGGCTACAAAATAAGTGTATTGGAAATAAAATAATTCAATTGAAAACACTAATGGTGTTCCTTCTACACTTCTTTTTAGTTTTTTTTAAACCAAAATTAGTAATGGATAAATTAAGCAAGATGATGGTTTCTTGAGATAGGGGTTTTCATTTATCAAGATCTAATGTAGCAGGGGAAAAAATTAGGGCTTGATTTAACAAGCCGCCTATGATATCACAGCTTCAAAGAACAAAAAAAACAGATTTAGACACTTACAAGGTAAGATCATATCAAATGGCTTTCTTGAACTCAAAAGATCCACGTCCTCCCGGAGCGAAGTTTGCTGATATCTGTACGTCTTCTCCAGACCATCATCATCAGGCTCTAAATAGCCGCCCTCGGTAGGCAAGAGCCACTGCAAAATTGGAAGCAAAAATAAAGATCAACAAACGACAGATTCTCAATTCTCCCATTGTGTTGCATATGCTCCCAGAAACATTCATTACAAGAATCAACAACCGCACCTTCTCGGTCTGAACGGCGGCTTTGGCGGAGTGTCCATAGAGCTTCTCTCTTGCGGCGAGCTGCCCTTTCAATTTCTTGTCGCGAAGAGTCTGATAAACCCAACATAAACCACACATACACATGTGAATCAAACAGGGACGCAGATTTTTGAAGAAGAAGTAGTTTAGCAGCAGTCTCACCCCAAGGTAAGCAGCCTTCCCCCGCGAGTACTTGTGCACCTTCTTCTCCATTTCATCCAGAGCCTCCTGCTCGCCCCCTTCCATAGCCTTCTGTTCAGCGGCGGGCTTGGCACTGGCCATGGTTACCTTCAACAGCGGCAACAGCAACAGCAAACAACAAAAAACAGTCAAGAATCTGAGTGAACTTCGGTGCGCCATTGTTCACATAATATACAGATAGCAACCTAAAAAAAAGGCAGAGCAAAACGAACCGCGAGGGCAAAGACCGACTCACGAGAACAGAAGGAATCGACCAATCCAAGCTCGGATCCACACAAGCCGCGTCAGTACAGCTGAGTGGGGGTGGAGTACTAGTACGTCGTCGCCGACGGCCGCCGCCGGCGAGAGAGGAGAGTCCCTTGTCCTCGAGGAGGGGGGAGGTGTGTCTGACGGGCAGAGGCGGCGGCGGCGCGGCGAGAGGGGGGGCAAGAGGAGGAGTCGGCGGCGCGCGGATGTATTGGCCTAGGGTGGGGAGGAGATGAGGAGAGAGTTTATGGGCCGAATTATTCGGCCCATATAGAGTAAGGAGCTAAGTCCATGGATGGAGGCGAAGTTTTCTGTGTGGGCTTTGAAGAATGAATAGTTGGGCCGTTACTATTCTACCACTAGACCACTAGACCACTGGTGCCCTTGTTGCCATTCAACTGAATCTTTCTTACAGATAAAGACATCAATTCTGCAGAATCTAGGACCAGCGATTTCGTTTCGGCACCTTGCATTTTGTTCGTTTCAATTCAGATCCATAGAAAGATTCAGAAGCTCCGTGCTATCGGCGATGAGAGTGGGAGTGGCCGGCGAGCCTGACGACGGCAGCAGCAGTTGCAGTGCGTGGAGACTCTGCAAAGGCGCGCTGCCGCCGCCGCTGCACACATGGCACCGGAGAAAATCTCCTCCGAGAAAAATCACCCAGCCTACTGCCCTACTCCAATCGCATGATACGGAAACGAAGGACATGTTTGCAAGGAGCCGAAAGATTTTTACAGTAAAAACTTGGCAGCTACGCTGCTGCTGCTACAGACACACACAATTGAGAATTCACAAGACTAGACAAAGCTATATAAAAGAAAAGGATCACAAGACATGAAAGAAGAATGCTCTGTGTGTCTGTGTGATCAACTAGTTGGATTTGGATCCCAGCGTTTGATCTTTTGTCTTCCAGTACTGATCGAACCGCTGCCTTGCATACTCCTGGTACTCGAAGTCGATGTTCTTGTTCACATGCCCCTGGAGACAAGAAACAGATACCAACCAGCTTTGTAAGATCACTAAATAGATTATCTATACACATTTGCCATTGGCGTGGCCGCTGTGTTAAGAGAGCTTACTGAGATTATTCCCCAAAGACCCCAGAAGATATGGCTTGCAAGACTGTATTTTGCAATCAGGCCAAGTAAATGTTCAACTTCCGCATCTGATGGGTTCTCACCTGATAAACAGAAGGAACAATCAAGATTAAAATCACTCATGGCACATTACAGAAAATGCAGCATCAGTATTCATTCAGTCCCAAAGTGCATTATTTTCCCTTTTCTTTCATCGGGCCAACGGTGCCAAGGTGCATCCTGCTTACCTGAAGAGCTGAGGTACGTTTGAACAAATCTGCGTTGTTCGTCAATGCCTGAAATATGCAGAGGTGTCAAACAAGCCGATTTTTTTCTCAGTGAAATGCACACAGCCATGCGCGCAGGTAGAACTTAACAGATATGGCTATCATCAGTACTGACCAGGGTATTTTGTGAAGTCCAGCACATGAGGTGTGGCTGAATGATAATCAGCAGACATCTCACAGAAGTGATTAGCAATGTCAAATGCCACAGGATTAAAACTCGCATACTCGTAGTCCTGAAGGATAAAAGAGATCCCAAGACAGCAGTTATTTACAGCAAAATATTAACAGAATATGACCTAAGCAATTGCTCCCATTCCAAGAATTACCAACATCATATGCTTCATACTAGTTCAATTATGCAACCCAGATGCAAATTTATGTTTAAATCAAGCATCAGAGCTGTTCGCCTGATTTCGGAGCATTTGTAAAAGGAGATACTGAGTCGCTTACAATTAAGGTCACTTGTCTGGTTTCTTCATATATCATAATGTTGCCATATTGCAGATCATTGTGGCAAAATCCTACTCTCTGATCAACCCCTGACAATGCAATGTCCAGCATTGCGATCTCATCACCTAGCTTCTCCAAACTGAACTGCCTAGCCTCCTCGGGCGAGCACCTGCCACGAGCTTCCTCAAGCCACCTCCTGATTCATGAAGCACAGTGAAATTAGCCTCTGGAAGGGGGGATTGCTCGTGGTTCTCGCCATTAATGGAGATAAAGAAATAGTGAAGGGGATGCGTACCTCAGCCTCTGCCACAGTGACACGTTCTTGGGTCCAGGCATGTCGAGATCGTGGAATTCACGAAGCTTCTTGGCGATCAGCGAGGATATCTCCGCGTCGCGCAGATCCGCCGCGGAGAGCGTCTGAGCAGAACACGAGGAGAATGAGCCATTGCCATTGGGAGCAGAGGAGTGATGGGGGAGAGAGAGAGAGAGAGAGAGAGAGAGAGAGAGAGAGAGAGAGAGAGAGAGAGAGAGAGAGAGTGCGTACCCTCGCGTTGATGAACTCCTCGATGCGGCCGTTGGGGAAGCGGCCGAGGAGGCGGGGGCCCTGGCCGTGGCGGGACATGCACTCGAAGGTGCGGACCTCGTCGGCGCGGTCGAAGAAGACCTCGACGCCCTGGCCGTAGATGCGGACGAGCACCTTGCGGTGGTCGCCCTCGCCCTCGCCCTCGCCGCCGCCGCCGCCGGGCCAGGTGATCCGGAACACCTCGTTGGTCATGGCGCCCTTGAGCTGGGACACGGCGAGCGCGGCGGGGTCGACGTCGCCGCCCCAGAGCTCCCCGGCGAGGCGGTGCAGGATGCGGCGCGCCTCCTCCGGGACGCGGTCGAAGCTCGCGCTCCGCTTCATGGCGGGCGGGGCGGCCGCGGCCTCCCGCGGCGGCGGGTCGACGGCGACCATTGTCGGCGGCGGCGCGGCGCGGAGGCGATCTGCGGAGGCGGAGAGGTTGAGACGTTTTTGCTTCGTTTTCGTTTCGGGGGGAGGGAATGGGAATGGGAATGGGAATGGGATTGACAGTGCGCCGCGGAATCGGATCGGAATCGGGATTCGTGGGAAAAGGAGGGGCAGGGCAGGAAGCTTCCAGGGGAAAATATATATAATTACGGGAGTGCCACGTCAGCTGCCAGCAGTGCACGTCAGGGTGACACGTGGGAAGTAGAGAAATGAAGCTTTCATTACTCACTTTTGGGCTTCGACCAAATGGTTGAAGCAAAGCATCCCCTAGAATTATGGAAGCATTGTTGCGCTCACTCGTATACTTATCCGAATTGTTTATTAAAAAGTACATGTACTTAGTAAATGATGTAAAGTAAAGTACAATTAGAAAAAAAATCAAACTCAAAACTAAGTTCTATTTAAATTTTGGCTTATAAATATAAGCAGAGCAAATGCATGTTTGCATAATTGAACTTCGATTTGGGAAAACTACACAAATGGTAGAGAATGGGGTGATCAATTGTTACTGTGATGAATAACATTGTCCTAATTTGATTTATAGTACCGCCGGTTGTTAATAATAGTCGCAATAATACTTACGATCATCTCACTTTAACCACAAATTACTTTTAAATAATTATATTGTGATGAATGAAAACCGTATTGTAATATTTTTCGACATCAGATATTTTAATAATTATGACATAATTTTAAGTATTTTTTAAAAAGAGACAAGCAAGATGGAAAAATGGAAAGTATTTTTTATAACTTTATAGAGTTTTAAGTTTTATTACTGTTACTGCCAATTATTCCAGAACGGGGAAAAGTAATTATAGAAGACAAATGGAAAAGAAAAATCTAAACAAAGATTAGCTGGAAAACTGAAAAATATTAAGCTGTTCCTAACCACTCGTACGCACTCTCCATCACCACGTATAACAGTGAAGTACTAGTAGAGTTGTAGAGGAGGCGAGAGGTGAGTTACAGTACGTCGGTAGCCGAAGCAGACGGCGGCGATTCCGGCGGGCGGCGGGGGCGGCCACCGGAGGCGACGAGGCGGCGCCGGCAGCACTGACCAGCGCGGCCGGGTCACCGGGGCCATCGCCGCCGCGAGCTCCTTGCTGCCGGCGACCATACTAAACGTATCGCCCTTGAGCTATCATATCAAAGCTGAGCAGCTGAGGGAGACGGCGAGAGATGGACGCAACTCGCTGATCTTGGGTTTTTCTACGGCTGCTTCGCCTCGCCGGCGACGCTCGTGAGGAGTTTGGTTTGGTTGGTGGTGGCAGACGAAATTGGGGCCGTCCTAGGCTTGAATATTTCCTTATGGCCTACTGGAATGCTATATTTCTTTTTCTTAGCAAGAAGTCCAAGTCTCGTGTGGCATGGATTGTTGGAATCCACGTGAGAAGAATTATCCATCCGGCGTTGGACGATCGCCGCCAGGGTTGTTGGGAATGAACAGTACAATCTCAATCAAATAGCACAATCTTATCAAGAATATCAAAGGCACAATCTGATCAAGTGCATATCTTCTCAAGCAGGACTAGGGGGCTCAAAACTGCCAGAACTCTGAACTCACAATTGGTCCTGAAGGATTCAGATTTCATGGCAGTTCGATGGATTCAGATCCAGACAACCAGCATATCAATGAGTATCTTGTGAAGCATAAGTGACGTGAAGAAAATTGTACAAAATTTCATGGTTGGGTCAATGGAATTTACAACAAACTACAGACATCAGGCACCACGAGTACGGCGCTACAACCCACACGAAAACTTCCACCGACTGAAGCCGCAAAAACTCACTCTCAATCGGCTATGTTCATCTTATCCACTCAGAATGCTTGTATATATACAAACCGAATATCTCCCATGGCTTCATCCATATGTATCAAAAAACTAGAATGCTGAACGCAGGCCCAAAGAAAGGACGGGAAAAATTCTCACCTCACTATATACTGAACTCCTGTAAGATTCAGTCTGCCGAAAGTTGAACAAGATGGATCAAAATGGAAGGATTTACATGAGAGGGAGGTATGTACCACCATGGCCCTTCCTCAGGATTAGAGGGCCAGCGTTCTCCGGAACCTTGTCCAAAACACTATTGCATGCGTCAAGAACGTCACTAAATCCCGTTGCAAGAGTTGCCAACTGCAGCCTCAGCCTCATATCCCTCGTTCGACGGAGAAGGCTCCTGAACGATCTGCCAAGATGTTTCACCCACTCTGCAGGCAAGCCTCCGGGCGAAAGCCAGACCGAGAAGTGTGACTGGTCCCCCCTGGCTGCAACCTCCGCCCGGTAAAATCTTGCAAGCTCGAGTAGCATTGGTGGCTGCAGGGGCAGCACCAACACAAACTCAGCCACAAATTGCTCAATTAGATCTGGTTTCAGCATTTGGTTCCAAAAAACTGGAGCCCATTCCATCGGCTGATTTATGTTGTATGCTTCAGCAACAATGAGGGCCTCTTGGAACCTAGATTGTTCTACGAAAATCCGCCGAGCATTGGTTTCCGAAAGACCAATCCACAGAAGGTCAGGTATACGGATCTGAAGTGATAGGAGAGAAGCTCGCGCACACGCCCGGTGTGTCCTTTGGCCAGCATCAATTGTTGAAAGAACCTCAGCCATCTCAACAAGGTGATGCATAGCCTCAAGGAGCTCATCATTCCTCCTTTCTTTGTCATATCGAGATAACCAGCTGTTCATGTATTGTTCTGCACGTGACTCAAGGAGAGAAGCAGCCTCATGCTTCATGTCAAAGTGCTTATATACCTGCATAGTATACAGAGGTTGTAAGAATGTAAAGAAACAGCCAGGAGGTATGTCTTGTCATTGTAAAAGTGAAGCTGTCAGGATCGACTAACTATGAAGGAAACTAAAGTCTCAGGTTTTCTTTTATTCTTCATGTAGATGCTAAATAAGCTAAAATTGCTCAATGAATTTTCTGTACATACTAATGCATAGATGGCATTGAATGTGCTCAATCAACAGATAGAACTTATGAACTGGCTAGGATAAGGGCATGAAGATAGTTAGACAGAGGATAGGGCACTCGTCGTCAAATTGCGCTGACAGGGCTTCCCTGTCGAGCTAAGAGATGTTCTGAGGTTTATTTGACTAACTTTAGATTCATTGCTTGATTGATAATATGATAAATGGGGTCGCTTTATATATAGGATGGACTGACTTGACATCCAAGAAACTAATGTTGAATATAACGGAAACTAATCTGATCTCTATCTCTAGTTTACTAACAAACCTCATATATTTCCCAACTAGATAATCTCTAGCAGATTAAAACAAGCTGTTGTTAGCACATTTTCTGTATGCACAAAAGCGAAGATGGCATGGTATGTGCTCAATCAGCAGTTTTAAGCTTTGACAAAGCATTAGGTCATCAGATATATCCACAGTGATGCTCCTTTGTGATAAATGAACTCCTTTCAGGCCATGCACTACTTGGCTTTGGACCTAGATTGGATCACACATTATGTCGGTTGTTTGATTGTATGCAGACTAATTGGATGGTAAAAGAACGTGTCTCAGACATCAATACATTTCAGAAACCAAAATTTCCAGAGAGAGAGGGAGAGAGAGAGAGAGATATATACCAGAGAAAGAGCGTCGTCATCACTTGGGATAAAATGTTTCAGTGAGGTGATAACAGCCATCCTAAACCCTCTAACTGATGCAGGTGCCCCAGTGGCTGAGTCAGTTGCAGAGTACTTTTGAAGTAACAACTCCAATTGTCCATTTTCTATAAGGATGGAAAGAATGAAGCTCAAGGAATGAAAATTGCTCACTCCAGTGATCAAGCGAGCTAAACAAGAAAAATCCCCCTCTGACACATACGACTCCACTCTATTAGCTGCAAATGTGACTAGAACATCCACTCCATCGAGACAAGAAGAAGACATGTAGAAGTGGTAGGACAGTATTAGGAGTTCAACCTGCAAAACATTTGAAATGGAAAGTTCAGAGACGGCAAGGGAACAGCATACAACAGTAAAATTCAAACCAAACCATAGTCAATCTGATGGTAGCTAAGTAGCCTGGATACATTAAGTTTACATAAGATAACACAAACATATCAATACCAACGAAGGCTCATGCATATCAGTATTCTGCAAATTTGATTACTTTCAAGCAACCCACAGGCCACAGTCAAATGTCAGTAACTTATAGTTAACAACACTAGGAATACTGAACTAAATACAACGCAAGACTGACAAAGATGGATAACTTCTAGTTTTCAAATGAGGAAATTGGTTCTTCACTTCACTCTATATAAGCAATGGCTTAAAAAGTGGCTCAGTATAAACCTACTAATATATGATGCAAAGAATGTGGAAACTAGCAAATTCTTTCACAATCAACAGGGCACTAGCCAGCACTGGCCAGTTTAAAGCAAATACAGGTGAGTCAGTGAGTTTCAGATCTTATACAATTATAACTTGTTTCTTCCAATACTGCAGTGAAATAAATAAGGTTATGCGCAAGAGTAATAGATACTTGTTACCCATAGGCCACAAGAAGCACGAACCAAAAAAGGACTGAAATCCCAATACTCCAAATCAACTGGTTTTTATTAAGCTGATTTGTTCCATAATTCCATAAGCCACCACTTTAAACACCGACACCTCATCAAGTTGAGTGCATGTTACTTGAGTTCCATAAGTTAGTCACTTTATGAGTGGAATAAAACTGATGTGCATGTTTTTTTTTTGAAATTAACAAATTTATGGCATAATCATACTGACACTAATTAAATATTATACCTTGATAATATATCAAGGGTCAAACATGAACTTTGCATAACACTGTTTGGATAAGTTATATTTCTTAGAAGATGGCATTTGCATGTATACAAATCAGTATTGTCTTGGTAACTTAGAAGATCATACAACCTCGCAAGCATGTGGTACTTCATGGCCAGTCATAACCAAACGCATCAAAGCATGGCCAATTTCTGGTTCTGATGGACATAGCTTTGCCCACTTCAAGAAGTCACTAGACCTCCACAACAGGGGTGCAGGGCCTTCTTCCTTTTGGGAATCCAGATAACCTCCACGATGTGCAGCTAAAAGCCCCTGCCAAATATTAAAAGCACATTAGACAATATATAGAATGCCTTTGCTGTTCCTCCAAAATGAAGTGTGTTTAAAGGATGGTGTAGTTGGTGTACCTTTAGAAAGGAATCAGCAAGAATTCTTGCAATGCTAGATGCAGGCATGGTGTGTGTCTCCACCAGAAATTTAGCTTCATCAAAAGAATCCTGAGCTTTCAGAGAAAGCAACTGAAGAAGTTCAATTGGCTGTTTCTCAAATGCTTCAGAAAATGGGAGTCCCAGTACTTTTGCAGTTTGAACAACTGCTGCTATTCTCCTGACAAGAGCTCGTCCACGACCCTCGCCACATTTCATGGCTAGTTTCTCCATAACCTGACATAAAAGAAAGAACAACTTGTTGTAATTTGTGGACCGTGCACCACTCAAACATTTATTACCAAAACTTTCAAGAGACAATGATAGCCTGTAATTCTGACCATGGAAAAGGCAGTAACCATGTGATCATTAATACCGGAGCACTATTGTACTCATAAAATGAATGAATCTGAGATAATACCAACAGTAGCATTCAATACCAATTTCTGTGCTAACTCTTTTGTTGTGTTTTGCACTGCGAGCAAAATATTTATTACTGTAATTTCATCATTACAGTTCAATTAGTCATGCAAACAATCAATCCTGTTATTTAATGTTCGTAATAGTCTAATAGAAAGTTCTGAAAGAAATAAGTACAATGGAAAAAAACAGACCTCTGATGGATCAGTCGTATTGCTTCCTAGTGACTGAAGTATTGAAAGAGCTTCTGGGTCAAAGCATGATAAACTGATCTCTCCATTACTGCTGTTATTGGCAACTCTTAAAGCAATATCAACAAGGACAAGTTCCTCAGGAACATACGATGGAGACAGCTTTTGTTGAAGTTGCGTGGCAGCAGTTATTTGTCCAAATTCCAGTAAGGAGAGAACAGCCTTCTCCATATCAACAGGCCTAACATTTTGCTCCCAACCGGATAAAGACACTTCCATCTTTGCAAACTCCTCTTCTGACAGTAAACTTCTTGCTTGTCCAGCAATCTTTGAGCTATTAAAGGAGTTAGAATTATCACCAGAATCATTTATGCTACTTTCAACACTATCCTTGGCAACCCGTCTAAGTAGCGTATTTGTCTTTGATCTTCGCCTTGCTCTTGTGTTATGTACGCCTTCGCCATTAGACTCAAAGAGTTGCAAATGTTGATGGAATGATGGGGTGGTGTTGTCCCTTATACCATTCCTTTCTGTTATTCTCATCCGTGGTGAACTCATACTATTGTCTATTTTTGTGATAACATCAGCTGTTTGTTCTATAATATTGGTATTGTTTCCAGTAGCTAGATTTTGAGTAACACTGGAAGGTGCATATTCTCCGTCAGCTTTACACTGACTCTCTGACT